TAAACGGCTGTATCTTTTGAATGCGTTGGCTTAGAATTTTGATTTTTTCACAGCTCTAAGGGACAGTAGACTTGAGTATTTGATATGAATTTCAGCTTGATACCTCCACGCGTTCCTGAGAAAAAGGGTCTTGACAGACAGACGGACAACAAAGTGATCCTATAAGGGTTCCGTTTTTTCCTTTTGAGGTACGGAACCCTAAAAAGGAAGAACTTTTAGCATTTATCGGTGTGAATTTCTATATGGGCTACAATACTCGACTGGCTTGGACAGACCATTACTTTTCGGCACTTGATCTGAACAATCCACTTATATATGCAAAACTTTCCCAAGAGACAGATTTGCAATAATTTTATCACATCTACACTGTAATGATAATGCTCAAATGCCTAAAATCTGCAAAGATAAGCTACCTATATAAAACCAGATATGTTGTTGATGGACTCAATAATAAAAAATCAAGAGTGATATCATGGGACCCGTGAAATAACCGTGGACGAATCGATGATCAAATTCAAGGGTAGGTCTGTACTAAAGCGAATTTTTCTACTCTGAGAGATGTGTTTGGGTAACAGAGGTGAAAATGTAGGCCAATGTATACCGCATTGGCCTAAATTTTCACAAAAGAGTCCTCTCTTTTGTGAAAATGTAGGTGTGAGGTTTGCAACTTTAAGAAGATTCAGTCCAAACCTTAAACTAAATGTTCCCACTGTATCTAATGTATTTTTGCGTTTGCAAAAACTGTTTTGTATAATATCACGAGGTTGACGTTTGATCTCATTATTTTTATTTACTCAATTTTTTTCAAAGTTCCTAACATTGTGATACTTAAAGTAACTGACGGTACAAATTAGTCTAGGTTTTATAAATAGTATTTCTAGGTATAATAAAAAAACTGTTCGTTTATTGTTACCTAACCTAGTAATATAATAAAGTTGAATTTGGAAAACTCTTTAAAATCTATAGTCTGGTAGGAAAGGGTTAACCTAAGAGGTGTCGTTAGATTCAGTTTAATTGTGGGTAAGACATAGGCAATATTGTATCTGCAAATCCAAAAAAAGGGAGGGTAAGGTCCTTTTCAGTAAACTTTTTAACGCAGTCGGGTTTTTTTAAATTATTGTTTAACCATTACGCTTGTTTGGGAATAAAACAAATTAATGTTATATAAATTCGTTTGAAAACTTTGTTGTACGGTGAAACGTGTGTACATATTTCACAATGACTTATATGTATTTAATTTGTTAACTTAGCAGTCTTAATAACACAGCACTTTAACGCCCAGTACTCGACGAGTAGTGCACTTCAAGCATTCATATCAAGTAGTCGTTATCATTTATTATCAATATTATATTAAATTGTCATCAGTATTAAATTATCAATAATAAAAGTGTAAACAAACCCTACAATTGTCTTACAATTAAAGAGGCGTATATTTACATCATTTTTTTAACATCAGTAGATATAAGCTAATCTACAAAATTTAAAGGAAGAGAATTTAACATTTTTAGGTTATTAAGCAACTATTAATTAATTGAGGACAGTTAATGCGAACAGTGTTGCGAATTAGCGCTGTACAAGATATAATGGAACTTAGTATAATAATGTCATATCTTAATCATAATAATATACCTACTTAGTGACTAGCGCCCCTGTTTATTGAATTTATCAATTAAATCAGATATCAAATCCACTTAGGGCTTATATTGCAAGTTTTATTTTCGTTTTTGGCAATAGCGCGTTTCACTGCTTAGCCCTAAGGCAGATTTTGATTGGTCAGTACGACCGGAGTGAACGAGTGTGGAAGCTTCATACAAACGTTACGCAACGCACGAACTCAAGTGCGTGGTTCACGTACAGTAGCAGAGCAGACAGAGAAAATAACCACCCGCACCGGCTTCATGTTCACAGCGAAATCACTGTAGCCGAAACACATCCCCTGTCTTCGCTCAGAGTCTTTTCATCATACTATAATGTTCTATGCATATTTATATTTTTGAATGTTATAGACTTAAAATTCACATAAATTATGATTAATGATAGATCTAAGAAATATTTATTAAGTTATGACGTAAAAAAAGTATATTAAATAATATTCCTTTTCTAATAGTATAGTACAGTTGGACTAAACACAGAACACAGACAGAGGGAGAAATAGAAGCAGGCGCTGCGCACGACCCTTTTTCCTTTATAAAAAAAAAGAAGTTTACATCAGTCAAAATGTTAAAATCAAAGGCTAAAGTAATAAGTAAATGACAAATTAATTAAATTTCTGAGTAAAGAGCATAAAAAAGGATATCCGGGCGGCGTTTAAATCTTTTTAACTACTAGGAACATTCTAAAACTAAAAATGCTCTGTGAACGCCGCCGACACATCCACCACCACCCTAATATTTCAGTGCCATCTATATCTCTACGTACAGTGACATATATCGGCCACCAAATCGCAATGCTTGTGCTGCTGTTTACTGATCTGAGGGGTATGGAGTTCCAGTACAATTACAGACTGTGCATGTGCATGCCGTCTTTGTCCTCAGGGGTGACAACGCATCTGTAATGTTTTTGTATGAAGTTGGCTGCACGTGTCCACGGATTGCAGTGGCTACTTAACATCACGTGAACTGTTAGTTTGTTTACCCATTCAGTTTTATAAAAATAAAATTAGACCACTGCTGGATATTGTTTCAATGGGGTAGCGAGTCGTCAATTAGTTCTCAATGGAAATTGTCACTCCAGTTTTCAGCGAACAAATTAACAAACATAAACATAAAAGACATACGGACAGACAGAGAAGTTTTGGAGGAGGGAACAGGGGAAATAATCATGCCCGACACTGCACTCTTACGAGCTGTTGCTGATGGTAATGCCATCGTCATCATTACCATCATACAAAAACTTGTTAGTTAATGACAGTTATGAAGCTGAACTGTGAATGTGTTATTCACCTGCTATGTGATTAAAAAGCGATATAGGATTTTATAGAAAACCGTATTTTAGTGTATGTCTCTTCCATTCCTTATTCTATGGTTGCCAAGCCATAATAGTATTTAGTATAAATTTAAGATAAACAGTAACAACGTATAACAGGTATTTCTTTATTGGTCACCGACTTCACCATGATTCAAAATTTAATAAGATCAGTCTCTTTTATTTTAAATAACTTTTTTTCATTTATTTTATTTTTTATGTCATGGAAAACCAATAACTTATAAATCTTAAGTAAATAACATGTTTCATTACAAGCCAATAACAGGTTCTCACTAATAGATATACAGTAATATAATCTTTCGTTGTTTAAACACGTTCAAGGACATAGCACACATACGTCCATCAAAAATTAAAATGTACAACATGCATAAATTTAATAAGTGAATCAGTCAATATAATATCCAAAAACAAAAGCAGGACTATACGCACTACATAATATTTTATTAATTAATTATGACACATAAAAATCTCGACTTTCCTTACCTTATAAAAGATAGAGTGACAAATAAACACGCTCTCCACTTTATAACATCTATGCTGTGCTCCATACACTTTCTATCCTCGATTAAAAATCAAAATGCAGATGTATTGTCATCTTTAAGGACTAAGACACAGTTACCAATAAATAGGGTTTCCCATTCTAGTCACTCGCCATGCGAAACAAGCGCTGGTTATCTGTGCGAGAGTGATCCTTCCCTGGTCGAGCCCACCCATTTGTTCTATGACTATAATATGCTTCACATTTTGATAACCATCTTTGGTAACCTATAGGTGTATCACATATTTTGCACTCATTGTCTCCCAATTCAAAGTAATTATAGTATATTATTTTTTGTTATCTATCATGTAAAAAAAACTTGATTAAAAAAAAGATTAATGTGAGCGTAAACATTGACCCTGTTTGAAAATCGCTTAGGCTCTCGTCGTTATGTGTATATTCATTATTCAATGTTAAAAATAATACTTACAAGATAAATTATGTTATTAAAATATTTATAACTACTCACTTTTTAAAAATTGAAGGAAAATATTCTTTGGATAGCAATTAAATTGCATTAAGAAAATATGTTATGAATTTATGAAGATAAGGAATATGAAATTTAGTGGTGAGTTGTTTTTATGGTATGACTTGGATTATTATTAGATAATTATTAATGCGAAATGAAAATACGTCTTCATATTATAATCTACATGTAAATAAATGTTGATATTGATTTAATGAATATTTCTTCAGATTTGAAAGATTTTAATATAATATTATATTTTTAATAAATAATACTAGCAGTGTTTTTAACACTACTGTCAGTAATACTCCCTTTAACCTCACCAACTAAGCTACAATGCTTGTGTTAGGAGAGGTTGATGACACGACTACTCGAATGACGGATACGAACTCACGACTTTTTTTTTACTGCGGTCCTATGGACCGAACTTAATAACGGATACTACAGACACTATTAGGCTACTGTTGCAATTTCGAAATCTTTTTTTAGGCCATCATCGTAAGACACTATTTAACATTTAAATTCATATACATAATATTTCGTTATTATTAAGAATTAATTACAAATAAAGTAATAATGCAAAATTTGTCGTTAGTGTGGGTGTTAAATATAGATTTAATTTGTCATATAAATTTTTAGTAATCACATATTATAGGGACAGTCATGGAATGATATTTTTGATGATATGTATCTAGGTTTAAAATAAATAATTGTTTAAAATACAAAATTAAATTATTCTATCGAATTTGGTATTAAGTATGAAATTTTTGTTTTATTGTAGGTAATTATATTTTTTTATTATACGTAAACATTTCTAACCCAAATATATTTAAATAAATACTTTTTAAATGACTGATGCATATTATATAAATAGTGGGTTTAGAACAGTACTTCCGTTCTAAGTACAAATATTGCATCTCCATTTTTTGATGTTAGTAGACATTGGGTATTTACTATTTACACTATTTAGAAGCAATGACATAATGTCAATGTTAACATAAGGCATAATTTTTAATTTTGATCAGGATTCAGCAGCTTATATAGGTGTGAAGTGGGATCAGCAAGGGCGTCTTCAGGCTCCCTGAGCTCCAAGGCTCGGCCTCCGCCCATAACCAGAACGCGGTCGCATTCCAGCACGCCCGTCAGACGATGCGCTATAAACACAACTGTGCTTCCACTGAACGAGCACCGGATCGTGTCCAGAATCAGTCTTTCAGCGTCTTGGTCAAGGTTCGCCGTTGCCTCGTCCACCAGTAATATCTGCAAATCAATCAAAAATCAAGTTAAAATCTTAAGGCGTCACATTGGGTGCTTGGGCTTTTCGAACACAGCACGCATTCGAAGAAGATCGGTAAATGGGGATAAGCACACGATTGTATTTATGTATGTTAATATTTAATCAGATTTTGAAAAAAAAATAGTTAACACATATCGATTGCGAGACAGGGACAGTGTAGTGAATATTAGTACGTGAATACTCTCAACACTAGAGGTATCGATTTGGATTCAATAAGTGCTTTCGTTGGTAATTCTTTGTGATTAAAGTGAAACAAAGATTTCCCCACGGTAGCTAACTGTGATGGATGATGGTGCGATCGCACCATCACAGTACACAATGCACAAATATTGCAAAACAACAAGCTTTGAGTCCCGCGCCTACGTCACAGTGACCGAGCGAAGGCGACCACAGTCAAGCGTGTGCCTGCTGTACTACCCTATGTCAGAGGAGTCACAGACAAGGTTGGCTACATCTTGAAGCGAGCTTCCATTAAAATAGAAGAAGATTAGGAAATTTTTACTATCCATCAAATGTCATATGCGTCTTTGCGTAAACATAAGAAAACATTAAAGATAAATGTGACAAAAAATAAACAAATAATGAGGTAAACATAAAACGCGCTCTTATTTGCTACATAGACTCTTCCAGACAACCCACAAGAAGAATAAAATAAAATAAGAAAGATTAACAGGTAGGATGCACTAAAATAAGATAAATACCAACTTATGTACTAAAAAGACAACATTCTTTAGGCAGATCAATGACAGTAACTAAAAGGAGGAAGAGAGAGGGTTTAAAGAGACAAATAGTGTTCCCTAACGTGTTGCTTGAACACATTTAATGATCGAGCACTTTTAATTGTTGGAAGTAAAGACTAGAAATGGGTTGGGGGGGGGGGGGGGACTCGAACTTTAGGCCTAGTCAGTTTGATTAGCCTATCATGTAGAGGATGACATGGGGGTCATGGTTGAATAAAGGCAAAAAGTTCTCATTACACTCGTAGGGGGTCAAAATGGCCAAAAACAAAAATAAATGCTTATTTCGTCTATAACTCCGCCTCCTTCGGAGGTTCTTACACAGTCTTTACTTCTCGCATCCCACTTGATGCTTGGGGTAAGGAGTTCCTAGGTCAGTAAATTGAAAGGAAAGATTTTCTTTGGACCGTACGGCAAAATCATGACAGGAGCTAAGAAATTTAAAACGTTCTTTTAGATAGGGAGGACTTGATATATTAAATAAGACGTAGTAGATGGCAGAAAGTATATGAGTATTCTGACGAAGACGGATTGGCAGCCACCAGGAGAGTTTAGTGCAGTATTCTAACACATGCCCATATTTACGACGCCCAAATATGAACCGTATACAGATTTTGGAGTCGCTCAAGTTTGTTAAGATGCTCCTAGGTGATATCAAGATAACAAATGTCAGCATAGTCGAGGATAAGGAGTAGTAAAGATTGTGCAAGCGTAATTTTGGTGAAAATGCGTTAAAAGTAGTTAAGCCCCCGGAGTGAATCATATGCTGCAGATAGGGGCACCATTAAATACAACAGGTTGTAATTGACATTTTTATTTTGGAAATCATTCTTGAACTCATTGGTTGGGATTTTAATGGGTTCACCCGTTAACCCATAAAATCGACTCCAGTCGAGAATACAAGCCAGATCCTTGTTACTACATTCAACTGCTTTGGGAAGATCTTCAATGGCAATTTGTAAATATATTTGAAGATCATCTGCATACAAGTGGTAGAGAGAAGGTATTTGGGATGTAATCGTATAAATAAAGATTGCGAATAAAAGAGAAGATAAGACGCCACCTTGTGGAACGCCAGCTACGGTATCAAGCCACGAAGAAAGTCTATCTATATGTCTAAAAAATACGCCGAAACTGCTTCCTTCACTTCTTCATCACTTAAAAACTTTTTCCCACGAAGTTCTTTTTTTAAGTTTGGAAATATATAATAATAATCACTGGGGGCCAGATCAGGACTATAGGGTGGATGTGGCAAAATTTCGAAGCCCACCTTCTGCAGGGCAGCCATCGCAACATGGCACTTGTGAACAGGCGCGTTGTCGTGCAGAAGAAGGAATCCTTTGGTCAATTTTCCCCTTCTTTTCTCCTTTATGGCTTCCTTCAATTGTTCTAGGATTGAAGTAATTTTTGATTATGAAGACACCTTTATCTTTATAATTAATCAATAGGATTCCTTCTGAGTTCCAAAAGACTGTCGCCATGATTTTCCCAGCAGATTGTGCCACCTTAAATTTCTTGGGTGGTGGTGTGCCTTTTTTGTGCCACTGCATAGAGTCCTGTTTGGACTCAGGTTCATAATACTGAACCCAAGTTTCGTCACCAGTAACAATTCGAGTCAACACTCCATCTTTGTCTTCCATACAGAGGTCCAAAAATGCACGAGAACACTCCACGCGCTGTTGCTTTTGAGGCGGCGTGAGCATTCTGGGCACCAATCTTGCGCTGACTTTAGTCATGCCAAGATGGTCATGAAGAATTTTGAAAATGGTTGTATCTGATACTCCAACCATTTCTGCTAGCTGTTTTTTCTTTAGGCGGGCCTCTTCTAATACTAGTTTTTCGACTTTTTGATAATTTCCGAAGTGGTCAAATCGATCTGCCTTCCTGGCCGTGCGTCGTCTTCAAGTGACTCTCTGCCTTGTTTAAAAAGGGTATGCTACTTGTACACCATTGTTTTACTTGGACAAAAGTCTTCGTAAACGGATGACATCTCTTCCAGTATAGTCTGAACTGATTTTTCGCACTTGATAAGGAACTTTATAACGGCACGGAAGTCGATTTTCTCCATATTTCACAATTTCTTCCCAATTGACTTGTTTGGTTGACGATAACTCAAAGACTAATGATCTAATTACAATAAAACCCGGTATTTATACTAATAATGAGTTTCTCAATTAGCACGTAATTCAGCGACGTCCCATGTGGTTGTCGACCTACCCATTCCGCGAACTTAAAAACGCCTCCTCGTATAACACTGAAGTGCATATTAGCAGCGTCTTTTTGTAGCTTTTCCTAAATCCATTTCCTCAGAATTACGCTGCAGAAGTATTCTTGATTTGGCTTTGGGTAGTCTTCTTTATATAAAAGAGGATGTTTGTATATATGAAAACGTTTTAAGTCATAATCGATCACCATGATAATTGGTATATATAAGGTCGGGGAAAAAGTTTCTTCGTATTTTATATACAAATTGAAGACATTTCTTTTCAAGTTTTAATTACATTTAATTATAATACATATGTGCCATTTTATTTGATAACTTGTTGCTATCATGTAGGTAGTGACATAATCCAGTTTCTGTAGAAAACTCATGATTTTTAATCAAAAAATGCGACAAATATGGCGTGATCGTGGAGGAATCAGGAAGAATTTCAAATTATTGCAATACATACAAATGTGAACTTTAATATCTTGAGAATAAACTCGGTTATCGGATCACAAATACTGTTCAAAAGGTTCTAAAACTATCATATTTGCAATAGAAATAAAACTTTTTATGATGGGAATTAAGTTTAAAAATGCAAAGCAATAAATTAAATTCCCGCTCCGCGACCGTGCTTTAGTTTTGACAGTCCTCTCTTATCAACCTAACACTATCAAAAGATTTTTGAAGATACCAAAACAAGTGAAAATCGGAGGGTCCAAGATCAGGACTATATGGTGGATGCATGGATGCATCAACACTTTCCAACCAAGCTCTCCCAATTTTTGCTAAGTGGCCAAAGATATGTGTGATTCCTTAGGTCTCTTTCAGTTCAGGCTCGCCACTCACTTAGCGGTTTGCCACCGTAGAGTCTATATCACCTGAGGATGCCTCGTGTAGAGGCGAAACACGTCGTATCAGTGGTGTGTTTTGCCTAGTGTAGTGGTGTTGGGGGTAGCGGTGCTGCGATTAGTGGTGACGGGGATACTGCACGCAATTGAGGGAGGGCGGGAGGTGCTCTTCATACTAGGTAAGACACATCATTTTATTTTATAACGCGGATATTTGCGAAGTAAAATTTTTTTAAAAAGGTTTTGTTTTATAATCTTTATAATCACTTTCACCAAAAGACATGTTACAACAAGAAAAAAATAACTATAAACTATTCAGAAAATAACTATAAATAGATAAAAATTATAAAGTAAACCTTTTAATTACATTTATTACCTACCAGCATTTACAGAATAGAAAATAATGCAAATATTAAAAAAAATCAGATTCACTTCATTCAGATCACTTTTGAAAAAAAATATTAATCTTTTTCTGGAATAACCATTCTGGGCTTAAAGGCAAGTCGGTCGTGCTAATATGATGAATTCCATTAAGGGTGGGTATTTGAAATTGTGTTAATTAGGTGGTAGAACTCCATTACTGCCTAGGAGTATATCTGGATTGGTACTTTTTACCTAATTTTAACGCCAAATACCAGTACTTCCGCTGCTATGTTATGGTCTGAAGTGTATAGAAAGCCAGTATACATAATAATAGGCAGCGAGCCATTCCATCTTATTCCACAGAGGTGACAATGCATCAGTAGCCGTCGTTGTTTGAACTTGCATGTAGGTATTCATGGGTTTCAGGTTGCATGTAGGTTGCAGATGCGCGCTTGCGTGTGTGTGTGTGTGTGTGTGTGTGTGTGTGTGTGTGTGTGTGTGTGTGTGTGTGCGCGCGTGTGTGTGTGTGTGTGTGTGTGGGTGTGTGTGTGTGTGTGTGTGTGTGTGTGCGCGTGTGACCTTGGAGTGATGAAGGTTCGCGCGAGGTATAAATCGCGACACGTAAGTTGAACTATGACCTTGTATGCGCAGTAACACATTTTCGGGTCTCAATCGAAGTGCGGTATGAGGTGCGCCGCGCGTAACCATAGCAACGTGGCGGCGCTAGACCCCACTCAGTCGCACTCTGTCCCTCGTTACCCGCGCACTCACCACGCGGCCCTGGAGTACAATCGCGTACGAAGTTTTCAACTCTTTGATATTTATAATTCTGTCGATTGCGTGATCATTTAATTTAATTTAAAAATAATGACTTGACCACAACCAACTTTAAGGAGACAGGGGAAAAGAATGATATTTGATGTTTATAATTATTTTTTAAAAGAAAATAATATAACTGATTCTCTGAATAAAACTGCGGAAGCTACGAAAAAGTCTGTATCCACAGTTAAAAGGATTGTTAAAGAAAGTAAAAGTTCAGAGTTTATAGTTACTTTTAGGACCCCTGGTAAAAAGAGGCAACGAATAAAGCCAGTCACAGGCATAGACAATTTTGACAAGGGGGTAATAAAACGATGTATTCACAATTTTCATTTAACTGAAAACGAATTACCGACCCTTGGTAAACTTCGTGCAAAATTACGTGCCGATATAAAATTTTTAGGTTCTGAAAGTCTTCGTCGCATTATTAAGGAACTTGGATTTAAATGGAAAGCCACCGAGAATAATAGGTAAGTTTTAATAGAAACATCAGCCATTAGATTGTTAAGAATAAATTACTTAGAAAAATTAAGACAGTATCGACAACAAAACAGACCAATTGTATACACAGATGAGTCATATGTTCACGCTACTCACACCACACCGAAAGGTTAGACAGATGGGTCAAGTAAAGGAATAAAAAACCCTTATCAAAAGGGCAATGTGTTGTGATAGTACATGCCGGATCGGAGACTGGTTTTGTGCCTAACGCCTTGTTAACGTTCAAGTCAGTATGAAGTCCGGGGACTATCACGACGATATGAATTTTGAGAATTATGAGAAGTGGATTCGAACTCAATTGATACCGATATCTTCTCCCAAATTCAATTATGGTTGCAGACAATGCATCATACCATAATAAGAAATATGACTTAGCACCAAATGCGAATTCAAGGAAAGCTGATATGCAGGCTTGGTTTTCAGAAAAAGGAATAACATTTACATCTGAAATGTTGAAGCCTCAATTATACCAATTAATAAAAAAATAACAAAGATCGCTTCAAAACATTTAGTATAGACAAGATTATGAAGAAACATGGTCATGACGTACATCGCCTGCCTCCCTACCACCCAGATCTGAACCCTATAGAAATGGCATGGGCAGCTATAAATGGTTATGTAAGTAGCAAAAATGTACGATGGAATGTGCCCCGTGTTATAGAGTTAGTGAACGAAAAGGTAAATGCAATGGGACCATGTGATTGGAAAAAGCTATGCGACAAAGTTAAGACAATCGAAGAAGCTTATGTCAAAAGCGACCATGTAATCGATAAAATGACGGAAGAATTTATAATACAGGTTTTAGATTCTGACAGCAGTGATTCTGAATTGGATTCCTCAACTGACATAGAAGATGAAATCGCAACTCCTGGCCCAAGTTTTGGTATACCACTAGGAAATTATATAGGTGTCATGCCAATGAGTGAAAGTGATTGAACATGTAGATAAACAGATTAACTTTTTGATGTATTAAATTTTTATTAGAATTCCTTTAACTGTTCTATTAAATAATACCTAACAATCACAAATAAATTATGTGATAAGAAATACAATTATTTGAAAGAAAATCGAAATTTTTGTCCATTTTGTAACATTGTTGTGTGTGTGTGTGTGTGTGTGTGTGTGTGTGTGTGCGCGTTACCTTGGAGCGATGTAAGAGCGCGCGCGCGAGACACAGCAGCTGCGCGTTCGTGTGTGTGTGTGTGTGTGTGTGTGTGTGTGTGTGTGTGTGTGTGTGTGTGTGTGTGTGTGTGTGTGTGTGTGTGTGTGTGTGTATGCGTGCGTATGTGTGTGTGTATGCGTGCGTATGTGTATGAGTATACGTGCGTATGTTTGTGTGCGCGCGTGTTACCTTGGAGCGATGAAGCAGCGCGCGCGCGAGGCACAGCAGCTGCGCGTGTCCGCGCGCGAGGCGCTGCGCCGGCGCGTTGAGGCCGCCACGCGCCGCCACCGCGCCGCGCGCGCCGCACGCCTCCAGCGCGCGCCACACCTCCGCCTCGCCGTACTGCTGCAGGGGGTCCACATTCTCGCGCACGCTGCCCGCGAAGATGAACGGCTCTTGCGGGATCACGCCCATGCGCGACCTGCGATAAGACACACCTCTCTCACTTTCTAAACTTTCCTTCAAGTTAGTTGTAAAAGAAAATCGTATGGTATTAAAATGTTAGTGGACGGCGTTAAATGACATTGCTCAAAACGGCCGATTTATCAATATGTACGAAACCTATACAAAACTGTTTATCTTTTGTATATATATAAATTATTACAATCGAATGAACACCACATAAATAATTTAGAATGTGGTTATTTGAACTTTTTTTCCGACACAATATTTGAACGAAGACAATAATAAAAACGTTGGTTAAGAGACAGATTCTTTATTCTCAAATACAGCTAGTGATAGGAAATACATAAATAACAATTCAAACAATACACGGGTGTGGCCTTCGGTACCTGAGCGCGTGCAGGTGCAGCGTGGCCACATCCACGCCGTCCACGAGCACGCGGCCGGCGGCGGGCGGCGTGAGGCGCAGCAGCGCGCGCAGCAGCGAGCTCTTGCCGGCGCCGGTGCGGCCCGCCACCGCCATCCGCTCGCCCGGCCGGCACGCGAACGTCACGCCGCACAGCGCCGCCGCGCCGCGCGACCCGCTGCACACACTCACATTTCAGTTCAACAACTTTGTTGCTCAAATATTTTTTTTTACAGAAACAGACCAACGGATTCATTAAAATTGATTCAAAATTTGTAACCAAGATGGATCTGGAAAGTGTCTAGCTAGTCTAGTTACTTTTCTGTTTATGGAAATCAGGAATGGAATCTATAATTCGATTTGGAAAGGAAGAAATAGAAATGGTTATGATTTGTTTGAAGAAATAGAATTGCTCACACTATTAAATAATTATTTAATTAGTTATTAATAATTAAAAGTACAAAACAGTCTTTGCCTTTTTTATTATACTTAAAACCAATAAACTTTTCTTTAAATGAATAAGTGCTCTAATTGCTCACAGATTGCTCAATTCTCATCCGCAATTACTTACACTAATAATAAATTACTTCATTAGTTATTAATAATTAAATGTACAAAAATGTGTTTTACTTTTAACTATTAATAATTAATTAAATAATTAATTAATAATGTGAGCAATTGCGAATTGAATTGAGCATTTTGGGAGCAATTATAGTACGGCCGCTGAGTTATTACCGATTTGACAGATTATTCTTAAATTAATCGATATAACCTTGCACGAGCGACACATTTGCCGAATGATTTAGAATACCTCTTTAATATAAAACTTTATGTCAAAATGTCAGAATCAAGTAATTTTCCAATAAACTCTGTTTCAAAACTTAAAATAGTTTATAAATAATATGAAAACATTTATTTTTTGTTCTTTGGCGCGCTTGTACAAAGTTACATCGTGCGTTTAGTTTTCATAGTGATGTGCTTGATAGTATTCGGTCCGAATTCATTGGAATAGATATGATATTTATTTTATTTGGATATTTTTATTTTACTTATTCCTTCGAACAACTAGACTATAATGCTACCATTTTTTTGCGTCTCCTAATTGCACTGTGTTGCCAGTATCTCTATGATTTTTAAGATTTATGTGTGATCCAAAGACAGAAATACTGTTTTCTATGATTTAAAAATAAATACAATTAAAATGATTATGTATAATTTTTAACATTCGTAATATATAAAACAACATTTAATAAATATAATTTTCTCCCTCAATTAAGCAATGTTATAGGTGTATTTTTTTAAGTAATTGGCGATACTATTCTGGCAACACCCTTACCACCGCTATTTTAATCTGTTTAGTCGTCTTCCGTACTCTCGTGCGCACAGACTACGTTCTCTTGTGTAACCGTTGTTTTTTGACTCGGCTTTCTCCTGTTTATCGTTGCGCTTTATTGGACTAATTTTGTTTGTGTTTGGTAATTTTGTTGAAAATGCCGAAACGAGGAAAAACATTGAATAGTCAATGTCGTGAGCTTGTACTAAAGCTACAGGATTACTTTGAGCGTGAGTCACAAAATGGCGGCCCTTTGATTCCTGTCACTCAAGTGAAAGGTTTCACAAGCTCTTGGAATTGGTGCAAAAACACTATATAATATAAATAAAGAAAAATTTTGTGCTTCTGGAAGTGAAGATAATGTTTTACGCACTCCTAAGAAAAAACGAAGACAAAAGCCCGTGACAGGTGTTGATGTTTTTGATGCAGATGCAATAAGAAACCACATATATGGTTATTATACTAGGAACGAGTTTCCAACTAGACGTTTGCTTTTGGTCTCTTAGAAAGAAGCTGGCTTGTTTAAAGGCGGTAAAACGGCGTTGTCAAAACTATTGCACGAAATTGGGTTTGAATATAAAAAAACGAATAAAAGGAAAATATTAATGGAAAGATTTTATTTAATAATTAAAAGGAGCGAGTTTTTCAGAGAAGCCAGAAAAATCGAGTCTTGGGACAGTGTCGTTTTTGTTGACGAAACATGGTTAAATGCGAACCACACTGTGTCACGCTCTTGGACTGACGAAACAAAAGCATCAACCTCAAAGGTTCCAATTGGAAAAGGATCGCGACTGATAATTTGTCACGCCGGTTCTGCTGGAAGTGGTTTCTTTGAAAATGGACTGCTGGCTTTCGCGTCAAAAATTACTTCCGATTACCACGAGGAGATGGATACAGACACTTTTACGAATTGGTTCGAAAATCAATTATTACCCAGCCTGCCAGAGCCTTCTATCATAATAATGGACAACGCTTCATATCACTCGAAACAAGTGAATAAAGCGCCTACTCAGGCCGACAAGAAAGCTGATCTCGTAGCATGGCTACACCAAAGTGGAATTGAAACTACTGCCGAAATGCTAAAGTCTGACTTAGTAAAGTTGGTACGCGAAAATAAAACATCAAGAGTCCGTTATGAAGTAGATGAGATAGCTCTAGCACATGGACATCGGGTACTTCGAATTCCGCCTTATCACTGCCAGTACAATGCCATTGAGCTAATATGGGTACAAATCAAAGGTATTGTTTTTTATCGCATAAGTTATGAATATGAATAATTTGTACTATTATAACATCCAATATTCAGCATATAAGTAAAAAGATACATAACTAAGAAATAAATATCTCATGTCCCTTACATGTAGGTAATTGTGGAACATTTCGTTTATTTAATGTAATAAATTAACGTTATTTAATGTTTACATTACAGGTTACGCAGCTCGTAATAATACGACTCCGCCATTCAGTACTAATAAAATGATGGAACTATTAAAAGATGCTTGCAGCAAAATAACGAAAGAAGATTGGGTCAAGGTCGTCGAAAAGGCTCGAAAACTAATAACAGAAGATTATGAACGCGATATAAGAGTGGACACTATTATAGAGAATGAAATTGTCATACAAGTGACTGATAGCGATGACAGCTCTGGCGAATCTGGTTCAGAGTCTGAATAATTGTTTTAATAAATGATAGGTAGTCATTTATTAAAACATCTTGTACCTACTCTATTCATTAAAATGTGTAACAGTGTTTACAAATTTGTTTTATTTTGATATGTCCTCGACCAATTATCTACGCCCATCAAGGATACTCCACCTAATAAAGAACCTGTGTCTTTAACTATTATTGTTTTGATTTTATTTAATTACACACTATACTAGAATATTTAAAAACAAACTGTTCCCAAATGATATTAGGGTTACTGGTTCAGTCACTTCACTAGTATTGTCAATTCGTCATGTGTCAAATCGGTAATAACTCAGCGGCCGGACTATAAGAGCACTACTTCAATTATCTGAGCGGTTAAGGAAAAAAAATTGTATTTTTAATTATTTTTAACCAATTAAATAACTAATTAGCATTTTGTGAGCAATTGCGGATTTAAATTAAGCATTTTGTGAGCAATTATGAGCACTTATTTATTTTTAAAATATTTATTGGTTTTATGTATAATAGGCAAAAACAATTTTGTATTTTTAATTGTTAATAACAAATTAAATAATTAATTAATAATATGAGCAATTGCGGATTTGAATTGAGCATTTTGTGAGCAATTAAGAGCACTTATTCATTAATCTGAACAGTTATACTTCCAAGCTAACTTTTATGTGGTTGCCTATGCATGCACATATATAGTCATTGTTTAGATAATTTACCGTTAGTGTTAGTAGTTAATGTATTGTTACGAGCTTGGGGTTCGAGACAATTAAAAACTGCCGATTGAATTACCAAAATTGACACTTTAATTACACAACACTAATTACAATCGAAAATCACACTAATAATAAAACACAGTTCGCCGTTATTTCGCTTCGAAGTATTCTCTTGTATCGCCAATTCAATACTGCCCCGGTCGTGGTCTATACCGGCCTTATAGGGCCTCAGATAGTTTCCAGAACCTTCTACTGTAGCGACATCTAGAATGTTCGAGTATATATCGGTCCCGAAATTTCTGGAAGAATCTCGACTCTCCTAGTTCTGCTACTCGACACTAGAGGGCGCTAGTGTAACTAGTGTTGCCATGTACAAGACATTAATAGTGGCGCGCAATACTTTCATTTACTCGACACTAGAGGGCGCTAGTGTAACTAGTGTTGCCATGTACAAGACATTAATAGTGGCGCGCAACAGTATTCAAGACTTTGAAAGAGACATTAAGTGTTTAACAGCAAGTTAACTAGCTGTCTATTGTATGACCTGGTACTGCAAGAAAATAAATCGTTTTGAAAGAAAATAATCGCGTCTGTTCGAGATCTTGGCACAGCAAAGAGTGAGTGAGGACGTAAAAAACGCATACGTTCGCGTGGTGGTACGGAGTAACTAATACGATTAATTATATCTGTGCTAATATACTTGTTATTGTACAGATCATAAAGTAAGCTTGCCTCAAGTTGAGTGCGTCTAGACCTTAAGTCTAAGAGTTTATATTTTGTTAAAAGGAGCACATACGATAAACGCTTACGGTGATATTTGTAATTAACACGATTCAAGAACTGTTTTGTACCATTTCAATGCTATGATTATATTTTTTATAAAGTGGGTTCCATACAGGTACTCCGTACTCCTATTGAGGTCAATTTGAAAATTAATTTAAAAATATAAATTAAAGTGATGGGGTTTCTAACTCAATAGAAGAACGCATAAACAGTCCGTACATTTTAAAAGCTTTACTAATTATGTTTTGTATATGAATATCAAAATGTAATTTGCTATCAAAAGTCACTCCCATATCCCTTATATTATTCACCCTTACAATATCTGTACCGTTAAGAGAATAGTTAAAGTAGCTTATATTCAGTTTTTTTTGTGAAAGTGATTACTTTACATTTATTTAAATTGCGTTGTAAATTATTAAGAGCACAGTAATTGTTAAATCTGTCAAGGTCTTCTTGAAGCAAATAGTGATCCTTCATCCTATCGATACATTGGTATATTTTGAGATCATCAGGATATAAAAGTCCCCGCACACTGTTCCGCCCTGCCGCTACGTCCTCAAGTTCTTCTCTGTTTTTACCTGACTGAACTTGTGCGTAGTGCATATATTCATTTGTATTCGTAACTTTTCTTTATACATTTCAATAAAAGGTTTAAATTAACCATATTCCTCTCTAAGCTTTATATGAATTTTATATGATTTGATATGATTTATATGATATCGACGCTCCCTGTTTTTACTTAAAAGTAACACACAAATCAAATTCTGCATCATCTTCCTCTTTTAAACTGTCGAGGCTAAATTCTAGCAAAATTGTACCCATTTTGTTTAAAGACAATTTTCTTTGTAAACAACGTGTGCGGTGTGATCCAATAACGAACACACACTGGTTAAGAGATATATCTCACAGTGTGAAAGCCAATCGCGGGATATGATTTATATCTCGGGATATAATATATATTATATCCCACAGTGAAAATCGAGCTTTAGTGGCAAACTGAAGTAGTCAACGCGATCGCAAGCGCGGCTGACTTAATGGCGCAAGCAGCTACAGTGATATTTGATAAATGATAAAGAATAGTGCCATCTAGCGGAACTCTTCCGAACAATATTCTATATAATAATACTAAAATTTTATTATCATCTTTACATGAATGGCATGATTGGTTTTTTTTAATTATATTTATAGTTCCTCAGACACTTATTTTTAATTTTGTATGAGTAATTAACGAATAATTGAATAATAATTCCAAAATTTGTATAAATTGTAACATAAACATAAAATGCCATATTTGCAGGCTCTAAACATTCCATCTTCGTCCTCAGTGGTAACCCACCTGTAGCCTTCTTTGTTTGAAATTGGTTGCAAGTGTCTACGGATTGCAGTAGCCACTTACCATAAGGTTTACTATTAGTTCGTTTGTCACTTCAAATTTATAAAAAAGCTTGTAATAAAAGAATATATTGTTTGTTAAACTTACTTATAATTAAGGTATACATCCTCGAAACTTATAACTCCATGTGACGGCCAGCCATACGGTGGTGGATCTCCATCGACTTTCTCATTTTCTACCTTTGAATGATAATAAAATTATGATACAATTTTTTTAAATAATTTACTTAAGCAATTAAATAAGTTCGTTCCGTTTACACATTCTCGTTATTCCTTCGTTTGTTATTGTATACGTTAGTGATTATTACATATTTAAAAAAAATTATACTTGTTCTTATTTTCATTTTCGCACGAACCTGTGTGATATATTCTCCAACTCGTTCGACGGCAATCATTTCTCGCTCCGTCTCGGTAAAGGAGTTCAACACACCACCTAGTATCGACGTCAAAGACAGCGCGTACGATATCGCCAAACCCACCAGACCTACAGACCAAAATAAAACACTGTATAATATAATGCGGAATGCGTTCCCTTTAGTAAGAAAAAATCTCTAACAAGCGGATTTTTAGAACTAAATTAGAAGGACATTACTCCGATGCTTATATGATACTCAAATTAATATTTATAAATTAATTTATATAGAAGTTTGTTATCTATAATATTGAAGATATTTAAATAATTACATGTATGCGTGCGTGTGTGCATGCGGGCGTGCGTGCGTATGTGTTTGTGTGGTCTTTAATCGTTTAGGTATATGTTAAAAATACTTTATGTTAACGAGTACGCGTCCGTCACGGTTAGGGTTTTTACAATTGTTAAACTATAGAGATTGTTGTACATAAAACGTTAATGCCAGCAGAAATGTACAGTTGGACCGTACAGGCATATTTGCTTGCCACGCTCGGTAAGTGGGTTAGTAACCGCAGTTTTTATTTTTATTCAACTGTTATCACAAAGATGGTGCCTAAATATGAAATATCATATTTCATTCTTACCTTACGACACTCGCGGGATATTATGGGATAGTGGATTCTTTTACGTCTCCACTACATGGTTAATTTCCATGTATAAATGTAATGAAATTAGGTTTTGAATGAATTATTCCTCATATTGAACTTTCAACTGTGTCAACGAACAATTACACATGCCGCGCGATAATGGCGTAAACGAATCTATTATCAATACTATCACATCTCTACCTTAAAAAAAAACAATATTTCCTCACGTGGATTCCGTGCAGATAACTTGTATGGGATATACTGAAGGTTTGAATAATCGGCGCTTTGATTATTTTGTTTGACGGGTATTGCATCCAATGCGCGACGACGAAATACTAGCAAAAAAAGAAAGTTGTGCAAGTGCACCGACATAGGCGTGCCACCTGTCTGATGATCGCACTGACCGGGGTCTGCGGCGTGCGTGGCGCGCTGCAGCACGGCGAGCAGCGCGGCGGCGGCCACGGCGGCGCCGGCGGCGGCCTGCAGGCGCAGCGCCAGCCACTGCGCCGCGCCCGCGCCGCACAGCGCCGTGCGCTGCCACGTCTCCACCAGCTCGTCGCCGCGCTCCGCCCAGCGCTCGCTCGACCCCAGCGCGCGGACCGTCGTCAGACCTCAAATGCAAACCATACCATTATTTAACTCATCTGATTAAGTCATAAACACTATTCAGGTAAACGAATCACAAAGGCAGTTGGAGTTATTTATAAAACTAATTCAATCTATTGTTTATTGAAAAGTCCTTTATGCCGCAATCGCTCGTCTTTTATTTATAAAATTAAAATGACAAATGAAATTAGTCCACATGATGGTAAGTAGCTACTTTAGTCCACCTTCACCCAGCCTTAAACAAAGAAAGCTACAGGCGCATTGTCACTTCTGAGAACTAAGATGGAATGCCAATGGCTCTCTATACCCTTCAAACCGGAACATAACAGTGACTGCATAAATTGGTAAAGGGGCGATGCTTACCCAGACGGACTTCTTAGCAGAAAAACAGTTCTACCACCAGAAAATAACCCGTAGTAAAATAAAGGATTATCATTATATCCATTTTTTTAATCCCTTTGAAATTTGGAAGAGACCACCGTGCAAAATATACTTTACACTAACAATAATGTTGTTATTATTAGCAAATTGCTAATACATTGCATAAAACATCGATATATTCTACTACCAACTAATAACAAAAGATTCCAGCCTTAACAAAGGCGCAAAACGGACTAAGTGATACAGACTCTCGCACGGGGACGTAAGGTGCATTTTGATATAATACGTGCGTCGCAACAATCGGTAGGCTATTATAACGACGGTCGCATCCGAGGCGTGCAAAGTATTATAAACATTAGCGACGTTGTAACTACTCGCAAGTTTGCTATCAGAAAGTGATTCTTCTGTTCTTGTACTATTATTTATTATGTGGTATTAATAAATAGATTATAATAAAATCTTACCTTCGAGCGTATCATTGAAGTGCACGTATATGGGTGAGAGCGCGACGCTCTGCAGGCGCTTCAACTGCCGCGACGTGACGCGGTAACGACGCTGCAGCCGATAGTAGATAAAACTCATTGGGATAACGCCCACCAATAGCCACGGCAGACCGTAAACCGTAACTGCGACCGCACCTATAGATAACAATGCGGTAAAACGGAATCCAATCATAACAATGATTAGTGCTAGTGACGCGATTTATTGCTTCGAATAACTCGCGTTAGCCAGAAAATCAAGTATTTGCTGCTTTAAAATCAGTCATAGGTATACCTATACTTATCGGTACGTAGCTATGCAATCACTATTGTGTTTTGACTCTGCTATGTTGATCATGTGATCCCACGTTCGAACCCCGGTTCGAGCCAAAACTGAACTGGTTTTGTTTGGGTTATTATGTCCAGAAATTCTGAAAAGCAGCCCGGAGTCAGGAAGTAGGGTGTTCTTTTACCCTCGTGTCTCAGAAAGCACATAAGCCGCAGTCTCATTGGATTGCGCACACTCGTACACAATAATTCTGTCTTATAACATAGACCTTTAGTCTTCATTGAGACTGGCTGCCGTGACCGAAATTGCATCTGGAGAACATCATTATTTTTATTGTTTTCTGGTTTGAAGAGAACTAGTATAATTGTTGACTGTGAGACATGTCGTCGTAGTCCTCATGATACCGCATAAGCAGTCTTCGTTGATTATCACTGATAGCTTCGTACTGTTGAATTTTCATTACTTAAATAAAATTGAAGTGTCTGTTTGTAAAATCAAAATAACAGCTTTACAGTACACATAACAAAAGGACAATTTTTTTAAATTATGTCCACAGACATGTCTGTTTGTTCTGGCTAATCTCCGAAATGGTTGGACCGATTTAGACGGGACTTTCACTGGCAGATAGCTGATGTTACAAGGACTAACTTAACTACTTTTATTTTAGAAAAGGAATTAGGGTTCCGCGCAAAAATTAAAACCCTAAATTACAAAGTCGCGGGAAAGAGCTAGTAATGAATATGAATATTACTCATTATCATTTACAGCCCATTATAAATAAGTGAATTCACAGTGCATTAAACAGTTATTTTATATTATATGATATGATAGTACATTCATTTTTTTCTCTAGTTATTGCCAGATTATAACATTTTAAATATCTTATCAATCAATCAATGTATTCGTTATTGTACATACATATATACAAATTAAAACAAAAACAAAATGAAAATATAAAAAAGGTACAACTTCGGTAGTCTGGTAGAAGTCACTTCATGATTGGTAAAAGCCAGTCTTATTGCTGTGGGAGCAATTTCTTCCAGACTACCTTAGAGAGGAAAGAGAGAAGAAGAGGTTTAAAAAAATCACAAGATGAGATGATGACAGTTGAGGATAAGTAGGATATATATGTCGTAGGATAATTTGATAAACCGAATTTTCCGCAAAAATCTAGAGATATCGCGAAAACATGGATAATTAGACAATGGCTATGACATTTCTCAATCTTACTGAAAAGAGGAGTTTTGCGAAAACACTGGTTGCTTTTGAAACTTTGAATATACTTAACTGTGATTGGCTTGATTTTGGTTTATAGGCCAATTCTTATTGTGATTGGTTCCTAGTTTTACCTTGTAGGTTTGAATTATTTTGTCATGTCACGACGGTTTTTGGAAATGGTGAAAGTAATAAAATATGTTTACTTATTAAAGTAATTATAAAAGGTAACATTTTGGTATTTTATTTGGTGCAAGAGCGAGCGAAGCGAGCTCGGGACTACAGTTTGGTATTACTTTGGCGGAGGGAAGACGCCCCCCCCCCTTTCTATTAAAGCGATTTTTCTCAGAAATCATTTAACAAAAATTTTAATTTAATTAAAAAAAATAGGCACGTCCGGCGGGTAAAAAAGGTGGAGGGCGACAGAAAGGATTGACAAGTGAAACGTCAAGTCGTCAATCAACCACCAATCAGATAAGACATTGTTTTGGGCGATCCGACTGCCCAATCATTGTGCTTCGTTTATAATAGCCAACAATTATTTTCGCAATTTTTAGTAAAGCGAGTGGCGTTTTTACAAAAACCCCTATACTTTTTCAGTAAAATTGAGAAATGTCTAATTATCGGTGTTTTCGCAATATCGATTTATCAAATTATCCTACGACATACACAAGAAAGGACGGGAAGTATGTAGGAAAATATTGCAGTTCCACGTAATAGACTTTGGGTAGAATTTTGAAAGAAAAAGGCGACTGAGCATGGTGAATGTCTAAAGGTAAGGAGTTCCACAAGCGTAAGGCTGGAATACAAGAGTATGAAATCTTGTAAGAAATAAGATATCGTTCTTTCTTACCGATCAAGGAGAACATCTGCGCTAGTAAAATGTTCAAAATGAACGGCAACGAATCGTCGACGGTGTACGTATCAGATGAAAATCGGTTTATAATACGGCCCGTAGGTGTGACATCAAAAAACTTCACATTAGCCTTAAAAAAGAAGAATTCCTTATATTAACTAATAATAAAACTTCGATTAAGTACTAAATTTCAGTGTGGTGGCGGCGTAAATGAATCCGTAATGGAGTCAACCTGTGGATGTCGTAAAAGTAGACAGAGGGAAACTCACATAGAAGATAGGCAGTAACGTCATCCTGATAACAACTTGATAATGATGAAAAACTGCATTTGCCAACCCGACTGCCAAGCGTGGCAACTATGGCAAATATTTCTCCTATGAGGAAATTTACGACATAGGCCTAAGTTCATCAGTGGAAATTTGTTAGACTTTGAATGAATAATGAACAGAATAGTGTTAAAGAAAAGCTTACCTTTATTATAACCTTCAAGAGAATTTTATGTATTCTTGCCGCAGCTTTTACGCCTCCGTAAGCAAACAAAAAGGCTCTCATTATTGTAAAGAGTAAGTTTAAAGCTGCCAAACCGAAATACATTTCTAAATAATAATTGTCACTGTATCCGGTTGTGCCGTTCATAAGACGCACATCCTGCATCATTGGCGATATAGGCACTATAGTCGAATTGCCGCTCAAATTATGTATAGCAGTCAATGAAGAATTAAGAACGCTGTGTAAGGCGTTGTCAATAATGTTGAAACCATGGTCTAAAAGTGTAAGATTTTCATGTGGATTTTCCTTCATTAGAATATTATCTACATTTAGATCCGTTGCATTCTTAGACCTGTTTTTGATCCAGAACGTAAGCCAGAGGAATGTGTAATTTTGTGACAGCTGCATGAGTATGAGTGAAATAATAATGTTGACTGAGAGAAAGAGTCCAACAGAACGCAGGTACAAGTATATCACCCACCAACCGACCGTTCCTGTCGACATTGCTTCCTGTAAGCAACAATAAAATTTTGTTTTATAGTAAGCAATAAGATAGAAATACATGTAATCAAAATATTTTGTCGAAGCAAACATGAAAAAATAATGCATTTTTTTAGTCCCCAAAATATTATTTTTTGAAGTTAGGCTTGTCATGGCATCGACTTCCACATGGCTCGGAACAAATATTTGTATGACCTATAAATAATTTCTCCGGATTTCGGATGTTTGTCGATGTGCATTTTTAACACCTCCCGATAAAATTCAGTTGGCTGGGTAAAGGTTTTTTTTAAAAGGACAAAATGCAAGAAAAATTTTATAAAAAATATAGAACACTATTTTTATCATCATCGTCACTAACGTCCTATCTCAGGTATGCGACGAAACACGGTTTCGAGTTATCTATTTACTGGCTGAGTAAAAACAGCGTAAGAATATCCCCCCCCCCCCCCCCCGTTATTCCGTAGGTGTTGTAATAGGCGGTAGATGGGCAGCAGCATCCTCCTGATGATAAATTTAGTGATCGGTGATCGCTTAAGTATTTGTTATTCTAAAGAATCAACTCTTTGTAAATTAGTAAATTATAATAATAAAGTGGATTGTTTAGAATACGCTCAAGAACGCATCTTATTCCGTTTTGAGAATATTTTATTGTAGCCTATGACATTCCGATTATAAAGTCGAATCTCACAACACCTCACACTGAGCCATAACATTGTATTATGATTACATAAGTCAATTTCATGACATTACTAACTGGCCAGGTAGACTTTGTTTTGCACTTTCCGATGACATTTTGTCCTTTAAAAAATCCTTAAATTCGCAATAAAATATTGAGATAAAAACTATTCTATCTCTCAAGTAGGAGCAAGCAATAGACATTTACAAAATTTCCTTAAAATCGTTTGAGTAGTTTCGGAGTACATTGGGGACAAAGAATGTGACACGTAATTTTTATATATAAAGATTTTTAAAATGTTATTCATTTTTCGTTTTCATAATTTAATACAATATGCATCACACGCAGCAGACGCACCTCATTGTCTAGGCTTTGCCTACTGATATTGTCCATATTATCTTCTATGGATTGGGGCTCCCGTTCAGTGATAGGCTCCTCGCCACTCAATTCCGTTTCATTTGGTAGAAACTCTTCTATTTCATTAAGCACTAGTTCTGGCGGACCTGAAAATAGAATACTAGCAAAGATGCAGTTACTGACAGGACTGTACGTGACGAGAACGGCAAATCTGTTGGTAAAATGGTAATGCTGTTTCCCCTTCACCAATCTGGTTTCAGCGTATGGAGTTTTTACTATTAATCAAAGCGGTTGTAAGCTCGTTCTTCGTAGATCAGACGTCAGGAAGTAAAACACCTCACCACCCCACTTCCTCTGCGACAATAGGTCGTGTAGAACCCAAAACGCCGGTGATAAAAAAAAGTAAAATTTCATAATTTAAGCCATTAAATGTGAATAATATTAAAAAACTATTGGTAAACCCAATTGAGCATGCCTTCGCATTAAAAAGAATACGTATAGCATGATTATACGGAATTTATTTAAAGTAGTTTAAATACACACAAGATTTCACTAATAACCTTATTATACTTCCAATTTTCCGATAATTTTATGTCATATGATCATCATATCATCATTCATGTCACTCCAAAAAGTCCAAGACGTATTCAAGTATAAATATTACATCCTACTTACTTTTAGTACGTACTCGTATTAATTATTCTGTGCTTTTAAAATATTGTAATGAAAAATCTCTGATTATTATAATAATCAAGTATGTATGAAATTTGTTTTTCGAATATTTTGTATTTATTTGAACAGCGATCTTTTTTAGCCGCTGCAAACAACCGATACAGTATCCACTCACAACGGCGGTTGACGCCGAACTAAGCGAGGAGGCGCAGGCAGTCTCTATTTACTGAAATAAATTCTCACACAAGGCTACCAAACCAACAAAAATTTCGCCATTTTGGAGCCGAAAAAATTTAATTATAGCTAAACAAAACAAAATTACACTCCCATTTACATTCAGTGGCTTCCCACATGATAGATGAAGAGATTAAAAAATAGATTGACTTAAACAATTGATATTTTCAAAAGTTAGAGTTATTACAAGCCTTGCGGACTTGATAAATCCACACCATAAGCTACTAAAATCCCTTTTTTATGTAAAAATAGCAATTAATCGATTTAAAAAAAATTAATAATTTCAACAATCATCTTTCTGACAATGTGCTTTTTATATCATTTATATGTATAATATGATTGCTAGATACGATTATGCAGGAAGTCGATGGATGCAGGTGGCTCAGGACCGTGCTTTGTGGCATTCTTTGGGGGAGGCCTATGTTCAGCAGTGGACTTGTGAAGGGCTGTAATGATGATGAAATGATGAGATACGATTTCATGCGACAAAACGTTGGTGTTACGGCCTACGGCTGCTCCCTTAAAGGGTCAAATCCTCCGGGGCCCATGAGCAGAAGACTTCCCGAGCAGACGTAGGTCGGGCCTCAATGTGGCCACGTGGAATTTCTCTAATTACACTAAAATATATGGGGGAGCGTTCTATACTACGGCCAGTCGACCGGCAGAGGAATCAGACGGAGCTTACTTACCTATATCCAAGGCGCCTGGTCCCTGCGGAGTCGGTCTGGTCGTATGTGTTTGTGTAGTGCAAGGGAAATAAGGTGATGTGATGTGTATGTGGGTGTGACTGATGGTGATTGAACCTAGACCTTGGCCGTCGGCAGCAGCCCGAGCGTCGACACCGCTCCAACTTGAGGGGGCCTTCCGAGGCGTTGTCCACAGTCACTTTCCTCGTTCGTCACGATTAACTAACTTACAGAAGCCACTAACTATCGCTGGGTATAAGGTTAACGCACAAAACGCACACGGAGTTTACGGATCAAAGGTCACTACGATTTCGCGTAGCAACAGTTAGTTCTAGAATATTAACGGCCGCACTAGCTAATATTGCCGAATGCACCTATGCAGATTCTGAGTCGGACACAATGAGTCCCTGGGAAGCTCTCCAGCAGGAATGCGCGTCACAAAATCCTAGACCGTATATTTACGGGCCGCGCCTAATTATTCCGAGTTCCCTAACAAAAATTGACAGCGTGCAGACATTAGCACAGCTAGCAGACGACTACTTCGCCTTTACATGTTCTCAGCCCACCGCTCGGCCGACGTCAAAAACCGGTATGGCCCAGAGTCGCGCGCCCCCTAGACGTCGATTCCGACAACAGCGTTTGGCGCGAACAGTTGGAATCTTGATTTTTAGGCGCTAGTAGAACATACCTATGCGCTTTGCGCTCGACATGCAATATATGTTCATAGTAGTTTCTACAACAAAGATATTTAAAGTGTGAGAACCTTTGTTCAGCACTAGACTATTGATAGACTGAAAAGAATGAATGAAAGTTATGGCAACAAGTGAAGCTCATAATTCTTTTAGTTTAGATCATACAATCCTTTATATAATTTAATTGTCGTGTTTATAATTTTCTACACAGAAAATTGCTTGTTGTGTAGGGATTGCGGCGAACTGAAAACAATTTTTTACTATAATCTTACTGAATAGAAGTAATGAGTGTAATGACCGTGCGCGTGTAGGCGTCCGTCATCCAGCAGCAGCACGCGGGAGGCACGCGCCAGGTGGCGGGGCGCGTGCGCGACCAGCAGGCGCGTGCGGTGGCGCAGCAGGCCCAGCACGCACTGCTGCATTATGTGCGCCGCCACGCGCGCGTCCACGCCCGACAGCACGTCGTCCAGCAGGTACACTGTGCAACGCACCTTACTCACATTCACTTTGTCTATTACAAATTTTAATACACGAATAAAATATGGAATTACAGCTGAAAGTCCAAATTTACATTTTAAATATCGAACGTTAGGAGTTATACAAAAACAATTTGTACAATATTTTTGCATTATTTGTGAACTTAACATTTGCGTGCGACTGTAGTCTCAAATCTCAATACTCGAAGACTGGAAAAAACCATCGGAGATAATTAATGCAATCCGAAGTTGTAGGATGTATCCGATAGTTCGTCTGTTATCTTATTAAGAGGCATAGGGAAACCAGCTCTATATATAACTACCTCAAGACGTGGCCGCCCGGTGTGCGTAAGAATTCCCGCCAATGTCAAAAGGATCAGAGAATGAATTCGTCGAAAACCTAGTCGAACTAAACAGAAGTTGGCTCTTCTACACGCTACTCCAATGCGTTATGACAGTGGACTTTAATGTCCAATACCTATTTTTAATTTCTTATAACCTATTACTGCCGTGTAGTGGCGGTTAAGAATATTCACTACCTCATATTTTCCCGTGGATGTCGTAAAAGGCGACATTGAGAAACACGCAGGAGATGGGCAGCAGCAGCATCTTTCAGATAACAATAATATTACAATAAAAAAACTGCGGTTGCCAACCCACTTGCCAAGCGCGGCAATTATGGCAAATATGATGATGATGATGAAAGTTACGAAAAGGCGGCCCCCAGTCTCCGGCGGCCCCGCTATTCCTGGCTACTGTGGCGACCATGGTAATAGCGGGGCAGGAAGTGCTAAGAATCTCCGGTGGAGTTTCGGTAGTCACATAAGACGACTCGACCTGGCAACACACAACGCACGCAACCTGACGACTGACGAGAAGATCCTGGAGCTCGAAGAAGAGATTGATAAGTTACGCTGGGATATTATAGGATTATCCGAGGTCCGAAGAGAGGGGGAGGACACGGTAATCCTCGAATCCGGCAACTTGATCTATCACCGGAAGGGCGACTATCTGTCCCAAGGAGGTGCCGGATTTATCGTCCACCAGTCTTTCGTTAACAACATTGTAAAAACTGTGAGTGTGTCGACGAGGGTTGCGTACCTTATACTCAGAATGACCAAACGGTATTCGTTGAAGGTCATACAGGTTTACGCACCAACCTCAGCACATCCCGATGAGAAGGTGGAGGAAATGTATGAGGATATCTTTAAAGCCATGCATTACTCCAAACCCACTATACGGTGTTAATAGGAGACTACAATGCAAAACTAGGCACAAGAGAGAACGGTGAGCTGAAAGTAGGGAAATTTAGAATAGGGCAACGGAACCTAAGGGGTCAGCAGCTGGCCGACTTCATGGAAAAAGAGGTACTATTTACGATAAACTCTTTCTTCCAGAAGCGGCCCCACATGAAGTGGACCTGGTCGAGCCCCAACGGTTCGACAAAAAATGAGATTAACTTCATTATAACGACCAGACGACAACTGTTCAGTGAAGTCTCAGTGATCGCGAGGGTGAAAACTGGTAGGATCACCGAAAAGGTTAGAGGGACAATGAACCTAAACGTTAAGTTGGAGAGGTCTCGTCTAATAAAGTCAACGCTCCGTCTCCCTTGTGCTCTAATCCAAAGTCCCGAAACCTTTCAACTCGAGTTACAAAAACGTTTTCAGTGCCTAGACAGTAAGTAGACGATGTGAAGGATAAGCTCGTGGAAACTGTCCATGCGGCCGGAGCTAAGTTCTGCAAGACCCTCCGCAGAAGAATACAAAAACTAACCGATCACACTCTTAATCTCATGACTGTTGACGGGAAATGAAGCTGCAGTCTTCAACAGATTTGACAGCATACAGGCAACTGAACAGACACATCTCCAAATGCACGCGGCGGGACTTACGCAACTTCAATATAACTTGTATTGAAGAAGCGATCGAGCGGAACCAAAGCTTCAAAGTCTTTGCCAGAGATCTGTCTGTCAGAAACAGCCAACTGACAAAGCTGAAGACTGAGTGTGGCAGCATCGTTTCCGGGACGATTTACCGACGGAGATTGAGAGGTTCTCTGGGCAGCTGTACATGTCATCGTTGGAGCCACACGCAAGTGTAAGTAACGATCCAAGAGCAAGTCTTATCCGACAGTATTCCGATGATATCCCGGATGTCAGTCTGAGCGAGATTGGAATGGCTCTCCAGCACCTTAAAAACGACAAGGCCCCAGATGAGGATGTAATTACAGCGGAGATTCTGAAAGCGGGAGGAAAACCGGTACTTGAAGTCCTTTAGAAGTTCTTTAATTCCGTCCTCTATGGTAGGACTACTCCGGAGGCGTGGAGCAGAAATGCGGTGGTGTTGTTCTTCAAGAAAGGCGACAACGCTCTCTTGAATGACTACAGACCGATTTCCCTTCTGAGTCGCATCTACGTGCTGTTTTCGACTTATTACGAATCGTCTCGCACGCAGATTCGACGACTTCCAGCCTCCCGAACAAGCCGGTTTCCGGAGAGGCTTTAGTACCATAGAACACATCTTTCGGCAAATGTACAGAAGACAGAAGAGTACAATCTGCCACTTTGTCTTGCGTATGTGGACTATGAGAAACCATTTAATTCCGTCGAAAGGAGATGTATGAAATTGGGTGTTTGACATCGTTCGTAACAGTTATACAAAAATATATAAGTAATATAACGATAAATTATAATCACAATTAAATGGTTTTTATTTCTGTAATGTATGGGACAGTCATAAAAACATTTTTTAAAACTGAAAAACGAAAGCTAATGCTTTGACTATAGCAAAGACAAAACGTTTTTAAATATTTTTATGTATTTTGTCTATGGCATTAGATAATGAAGGTTAATTTTTGTAATAAATATGCCTTCAGTATCAAAAAAAAAACACTCATAATATTGAAACAGCTTATACTGAATAAAAGAAATCTATTTAGAAAATCGATTGAATAGGCTACATTATTAAGCTAAACAAAATATTTGAATAATATCGGACACGATTAAATAGGCTGTATGGTCGTCAATCATTGCCTGTTTCGAAGGAGACTTAACTTGGTAACTTCAAGTTTAAACTTGTCATGCGCATCTAGCACTGTGGTTGTGTTTGTGGATATATTTCGTGTTTCTATTTTCGTGAATTAATTTAACTTGATCCTTGGCTTTTCTCACGATTTACAGGACAATAGGTTGTTGCGCCCACATAATGACAATAATGTGTTACTTGGGTTTTGAGAGGAATAGAACAAACAATGTACAGACTCAGGTTGCTTTTCTAGATGATATTTTATTAATAATTGCAGAAAATAATTAAACAATTAGAAAAGTTTGAGTAGTATTTTATTTTATCTTATTTTATTTTATTTACTAATAATTTAAAAAAAACTTAATACTTTTATGTTCTTTTCAATTTATTGAAACAACTTATCCCTAGTACGAGTGATTTTACTACATAACCTACAAATAATAAAACAAAACTCCAGGCCCTACAAAAATATGATTTTTGTCGTAACAAATATTTAAATCTTCAAAATAAGATATATTTGTACTTTGTTTACGCCGGGTCAAAGCTTGTATGGGACGAATATCATCTATAGATGATATAGTCCCTTCAGCGGTGCCAAGTTGACTGTCGGTATATCGAAGTGCTGAAGTGTTTGTACAGTAGGGCTACGATGGCTATCCGAGTACAGAATCAGAGTACGAAACCTATCCAACTGCAAAGAGGTGTAAGACAGGATGACGTTATATCCCCGAATCTCTTCACCGCTGCATTGAAAGAAGTTTTCAAACTACTGGACTGGTATTAACATCAATGGCGAGTACATCACTCACCTTCGATTTGCCGACGATATAGTTATTATCGCAGAACCGCTGGAGGAACTCAACACTATGCTCAATGACATCAATAGTGTCTCTCAACGGATAGGTCTTAAGATGAACATGGAGAAAACAAAGATAATGTTTAATGTCCATGTCACACCTGTGGTGGTAGTTGTTGGGAGCACTAAGCTCGAAGTTGTAGACGAGTATATTTACCTGGGACAAATAGTCCGACTAGGTAAGTCCAACTTCGACCAAGAGGTCAATCGACGGATTCAACTCGGCTGAACTCGGCTCGTTCGAGAAATTACGACACATCATCTCGTCAGGTATACCTCAAAACCTGAAAACGAGATTGTACAACCAGTGCGTGTGATGACTTATGGATATGAGACGTGGTCCTTCACTGCTAGCCGAATGAGGACGCTCAAGATCACTCAGCGAGCTACGGAGAGGGCTATGCTCGGGGTTTCTCTGCATGATAAACTTGGAAATGAGGATATCCGCAGTAGAACCAGAGTAACCGACATAACCCAACGGATTAGTAAGCTGAAGTGGCAATGGACCGGCCATATAGCTCGAAGAACCGACAACCGATAGGGTAAAAAGGTTCTCGAGTGGCAGCCTCGTACCGGTAGGCGAAGTGTAAGGCGACCCCTCACTAGATGGAGTGATGACCTGGTAAGACATACAGGGAGTCGATGGATGCAGGTGGCTCAGGACCGTGCTTTGTGGCATTCCTTGGGAGAGGCCTATGTTCAGCAGTGGACTTGTGAAGGGCTGTAATGATGATGATGATGATAACCTATATATAGTTTCCTTTTAACACAGAACAAAATTGCAATTCACAATCTCATTGGTGACATTTGGTATACAAGTTGGTTTGTTCGAATACTATGAAATTTAAAGGCTTACTCCTTATGCTTTCACGGTCAAACTGAGTTATGAAAGCTCTCGATAATTTATTTAACTCGAAGATCTAACAGGAGTACATCATCTAAAGGCTATTTATTTACAATCCTGCGATACTAGATGGGGGTTTTAATTTTAGAAGTCCTGCAATTGTGGTACTGGATAAAAGATTTTGTACATATTGCCGGTATCCATGTAAAGAAATCCTGGACTCATTGGAAACCGATATTGTATGTTACAATCGTTTGTGAAACATAAATGCTGGAATGAAGGCTCTTGCCGTCATTATCAATCATGTTCAGTCTTACGGCTACTTCACGCAGATTATGCATGTTTGGTCTTAACTATCGTGTTATCATGAGGTGTGGTTGCTTTAGCTTTGTCGGTGTTTAGGACTACTTTTAAAAACATTTGTTTCCCTTAACCTTCATCATACTTGAGAAACTGAGGTTTCAATTTAAACTTCGGACAACTAATTTATTCTGCACCAGTACCACAAATTGCTATTGCATAAATTATAACGACAAATGACGTAATCTATCTAATGATGTGAGCATGTCCCATTTTGTATGTGCCAGCGTGTGTTTGTGTGGGAAAATCTAGTTAACTTTGGTGTCTCCAACTCCAAACGAGAAAAATACTAACGCTTTCTAGCAGTGTTCCAAGAGGGTAGTGTTTTTAACTACACACCACAAAAAAATTGTTGGCTAATTCCATGGCCCGTGTGCTGATGCAGTTTATACAGAATGTCCCGAAACTCAACGTCAAGCGCGTACGGGGCAATAAGCTAGGTTGTACCATTTCTAGCAAAAATAAAAAATAAATTCCATGTTACTTGGTTAAGTGATAATAGGTATACTTTTGAAAATGTTGAAAATCAACATCCTAGATTACGTATTTGGCTACTGTGTTCACAAATGAGATGAACTTGATTCCATACAACTTAGGCCCGGCGTGAACAAACTTAAAATATGTGTTAGTTTGAAGATTTAAATATTTGCTACTTATATCCAAAAATCATATTTTTGCCGGGCCTGGGAGTTTTTTTATTTTGTTTTATGATTTGTAGGTTATGTAGTAAAATCACTCGTTCTTGTGATAGGTTGTTTAAATAAATTGAAAAAAACACAAGAGAATGCAGTTTTGTAGTTATTATTATTTAAAATAAAATAAAACTCAACATTTTTAATTGTTTAAATATTTTCTGCAATTATCAATAAAAAGTCTTCTAAAAAAAAACAGACGAAGGCTGCACATTGTCTGTTCTATTCCTCTCAAAACTTAAGTATCACATTATTTTCATTTATGGGCGCAACACACTACTGTCCTGTGATCCGAGAGAAAATTCAAGAGTCAAGTTAAATAAATCCACAAAAGTAAAAACACAAAATCTATCCAAAAAAAAAACAGCTACAATGCCAAATGGGCATACCGCATGACAAGCTGAAACTTGAAGTTACTAAGTTAAGTCTCCTGCGGAATATGCAATGATCAATAACCATACAGCCTATATTCAGTCGTGTAGGATAATATTCAAATGTTTTTTGATTTAATGACATAGCCTATTCAATCGTTTTCTAAATATATTATTTTATTCAATATTAATAACTACAGATACCCATCAATGTTCCAATATTATGATTTTGTTTCGTAAGGAAGGTTATTTTATTATAAAAAATAGCCTTCATTATCTATTGCCATAGACAGAACAGAAAGACATTTAAAAACGTTTTGTTTTTGCTAAAGCAAAAGCATTAGCTTTCGATTTCAGTTTTAAGAAATGTTTTTATGATTGTCCCAAGGCCTAAAGAAATAAAACCCATTTATTTATGCTTATAATTTATCGTTATATTAACTACATATTTTTTTATAACTGTTACGAACGATGTCAACAGCCCAATTTCATACATCTCCTTTCTAAATTTTTCAGTGTTTTTTTTTTAAATTTAATCCTAAATAACTATGCTATTGATTACAGTCACCAATTCAATAATTAATATTGTGAGTTTAGTACAAAAAAGTTTAATTAAATCATGGTTAAAAACGTTTTAACACTTAACTTCGACACCTTGTCTTAAATAAAAATTTACTATACTATCATAGGCAAGTTGTTTTAAAAAATGGCCCAATTAATTAGGATTTCAAAATAGTACAATATTTGTTACTTATCTTTCCATAAAAAATATTATGCATATTTACTTCCAAAAGGACTTAATTTCAAACAAACTTTTTTATTTGATCAGTACTATTGTGTGCAAAAGGATTTGCTTTATTATTGTGTGAGTGAGACAAACAGATGTGATAGAGTGAGATAGATAGTGACTCTGTTCAAAGTGCAATAGAGTCGGATAGACTGACATTTTGAAGTGAGACGGTTAGAGACGCCGATGCGATAGTCAAATTGATTGATTATTGAAAGTGACAACTTTGGCTTATGTTACCTGGACTGGATATTGCATTTGTGTTGTCAAACTTTGCCTGCGTATGCCTGGACTTTAGTATTTATTGTTCTGCCAAAATTCCGTATGTGTATACTGCGCAAGAATATGGGTACATGCATATTATCTACGGTGAATGCCATTATAACGCCTCTGCCACAGCCAGATTGTATCAGGAGAGATACTCAAACGCGGCACGTCACCTAGATCACCGCGTGTTCATCAATGTGCACCAGTCGTTTCGCAAAGACGCAGCACGAAGTATTCGCAAAATCCACATTTATTGAGTGAAGATCTCTCCCAACCAATCTAAAGTGATTACCAATTTAAAGTGAACATGTGGACCGGAATTTAAAACGGACAAATAATCGGACTATTTGAGCTGCCTAACAAAATCATTTGCCGAATTTATTCGGTGTACCACTCAACATCTACCGGGTTATGTGATTTCAACAAGATGGTTGCCCAGCGCATTATGCTCGTACAGTACGGGATCATCTAAACACAGAATATCCCGGATGGTGGATTGGACGCTTTGGCACAATTTTATGGCCTTCTCGTTCTCTAAACCTAAATCCACTTGGCTTCTTGTACTGGGTCTGCATAAAAGAAAAAGTGAACTTGAAACCAATACAAAAATCTAGCCGAACTACGCCGCAAAATAGCTGAAACTACAAAGGAAATAAACTCAAGGAGATACGCTCTAAATTGTTGATAATCGTGATAATATTTTTTATGGAAAGATAAGTAGCAAGTGTTGCACCATTTTCAAATCTTAATTGAATGGGCCATTTTTAAAACAACTTGCCTATGGTAGTATAGTAAATTATTTTTTTAAAAACAAGGCGTCAAAGTTATGTGTTAATACGTTTTTAACCATGACTTAACTAAACTTTATTTTTTGTACTAAGCTCACAATATTAATAATTGGATTTGTGACTGCAATCAAAAGCACAGTTATTTAGAATTACATTAAAATAACACACTGAAAAATTAAGAAATTTGAAAACCTAGAACCTGTGATCTAGGCTGTTGATTTTTAATATTTTCAAAAGTATACCTGTTATCACTTAACCAAGTAACTGGAATTTATTTTTTATTTTTGCTAAAATTGGTACAACCTAGCTTATCGCCCGAACCCGCTTGACGTTGACTTTCGGGAAAAGCTGTATATGTCTGTTGTTTTATGTACGTGTACTAATAACTTGACTTCGAACAAGAAGTTTTTTTGAGTTTGACGTTTATTAGACATACCTTCCTTTTCTTGATAAACAGCACGGGCAAGTGCGATACGAGAACGTTGTCCGCCACTTAGTGTACACCCACCTTCCCCGACGTACGCATTCCATCCAAGGATATTCAAATCCTCTGGAAATAACAGCATTTTGCATTTAAAATAAATATGTACAATACAAATTATTATTGTTTTGTAGTCATAATAATTTACCTGTGAGGGCACAGGCATCAACTACAGATCGAAACTTAGCCTCATCGTATGGTTTTCCAAAAAGAATATTGTCCCGTATTGTACCGCGTATTAACCACGCTTTTTGAGATACATAACCAAAACCTGCGGAAATAATTTTTTAAAGTTAGTGATTAGACAGATTAAACATTAAAGCAAACAAGTAATTACCCAAGGTATTCAAATTCTTATATTAATCCCACCATTATCGTTACCGTTACAGTCTATTAAAAGTTCACTGCTGAACATAGGCCACCCTCATAGCTCATAGGGTGGATATAAATAGTATAGATATGATCAATGCCTCTGATTGATTGAACCGCTTGGAATGAGGTGGTCGCTACCAAGCCGTTTCTAAATGTTTTCATATTTAATTATTGTACATATTATATATACATATTTATTGAATTCCTTACAATCCGGTTTCCGTCCTGGTCATAGTACGGTTACTGCCTTAATCAAAGTTACTGATGACATACGGTGGGGTATGGATAATAAACAACTCACAGTCATGACCTTGCTGGATTTCAGTAATGCGTTCAATACTGTTGTTTTCGATATACTGTTGAGTCTGTTGTGTTCCCTTAACATATCTCCATCAGTAATTGACTGGTTTCAAAGTTATCTCTGTGGCTGTCGGCAGTGTATTCGTGTCGATGAAACTCACTCATCTTGATGTGATATTACTGCAGGCGTGCCGCAGAGCGGCGTGTTGTCACCTTTACTCTTTTCCATTTTCATTAATTCAATCACTCATAAAATATCTTCTTTCTACCACATGTATGCGAATGATGTCCAGATTTACACCCAGTCAACTCTTGAGAATTTGCCGAATGCAGTCGCTACATTAAATAAGGATCTAAATTTTATACACGAGTGGAGTAAATCATATGGCCTAAATGTCAATCCTAAAAAGTCTCAGGCTATCATTATTGGTAGCCAGAGCTTTATCTCGAGAATTGACTGGTTCTCTGTACCACCTATCGTATTCGATGGAGTTGTTATCCCTTACTTTGACAATGTCAAAAATCTTGGTATTTATATTGATAATTCCTTAAATTGGATACGCCAACTGAATGAGGTAAGTAAGAAAACTTTTGTCGCTCTTTGTTCACTGCGTCGCCTTCGATCATTTCTTCCCATTCCTACAAAAATTATGCTCGCACAGTCTCTTCTCCTTCCGATTCTCGACTATGCTGACGCAAGCTATGTAGACACTAAATAAGCTTGAGAGACTTCAAAATACTAGTATTCGGTTCATATTTGGATTGCGCAAATTTGACCATATTTCACAATTTCTCTCACGTCTCAAGTGGTTACCTATCCGACTTCGCCGGAACATGCATATACTTTCTATTCTGTACTGTGTATTATTTCACCCTTCTACTCCTCCCTATCTAAGGGAGAAGTTTAATTTTGTGGGGCTTCCGGGGGAACCTTTACGCTCTTCTAGAAAATTCATTTTAAGTGTGCCAACTCACAATACATCATTTTTCAATAAATCTTTTACTGTCCAGTCTATTAAGCTCTGGAATGCCCTACCTTTGCATATACGTGAGGCACAAACTGTTGATATCTTTAAGCGATTACTTAAAGAGCATTATTTGTCTCAATCGTTCGGACACCGTTAGGATAGATTGTGTGATTATGTATTTATTGTATCTATCAGCTTTATATTATTGTTTGAGGAATTTTGTATATATATATGTATTGTGTGTATATTTGTGTATATATGTTTATATATATGTGTATATGTATGTATATGTATATTTAAATGTATATATGTATGTATATGTGTATGTATATGTATATATTATATGTTTTACTTGATCTTTTATTGTGTTAGTAATTTATATTATTTCATGTATTACTTAGTTATTTATATCTTTTTTTTTGCATTTATTATTTGTATATTTATATTGCACCACCTACCACCTACCTATTCATTGTTTGTATTACTTTACACCTTTGGTTGCCTGGAAGAGATCGCTATGTAGCGATAAGGCCGCCAAATTGTACATATTATAATCTGATTTTTGTTATGACATTTGTATATTTGTTCGTGGTATACAATAAAAGTATATTCATTCATTCATTCATATTATATAACATATTATACAAGATTTAATTATATACGATGTTAAAAAACTATAATAAAAAAAAACTAACACTAATATTTTATTATAAATTATTGTTCAAAAAGTAGGACAGAAGATTTTTTCGAAGCAATGGGAAAGCCATAAATTATAACTTTCAGTAGTTTCGTTCAGTTCAGTCTTGTAATCTGTATTGAATAAAAAATTACTCAATACTATTCTATTCCAGTGACTACGATTGGCAGGCGGGTTGGCAACTGGAGATTTATTTTTATTTTTAGATGTTGTTAGGAAGACGATACGATACGATTTGTTTCCCTCTGTCGCCTCTTACGATACCCACTGCACTGGTCGTATTTATTTCACGGCCTTGGTGAATTTTTGTAATGTTCGGTATATTTCTATATTGATTAAATAATAATACAATTAATTATTGCCATATTGAAAAAATCTTTTAGATTTTTCTATACTGCCAACTCAGCCAAAGTATTAAATATGGGCGACTTACTTCATAATAAATTAATATTTATAAAATTATTCTTTATAGGCTGACTTATGTAAGTGAATTTATTAACCCATTTCGTTTCCTTCCTGATAAAGGTTACACGTAATCATTTTTTACACAATTTTGACTAGGCGGTAGGTAACTCCCTAGGAGCTTGGATAGGAAGGCACCACCCTGCTACCTATTTTTGCCGCCAAATAACAGCACCTGTACAGAATGTGAGACAATCCATATCAGTCCTCAGACTACAGACAACACATCTGTAGACTTCCTTATATGAAGTTGGCTGCAGGTGTACTTGGACTGCAGTAGCCACTTACCATGCCAAACTGTAAGTTCGTTTGTTACTTCAATTTGATAAAAAATCAAGCGATTGCGGCTAAAACTGCGACTTTCATTATAATACAGTATATAGTATACAGTATACAGTAAAAGGCACTGACGAGTTGAAAGACTTATTAGAAGTTAGCTGATCAATGGAAAATGGACTCTGTGATATGATTTTATGACCTTAACATAACCGGAGCAGATATTTTCTATTTCAATATAAAAATGTCCGGAAGGAATAAGGTCGTCAATATATTAAAATAAAATGCATACAGTAGATTTATAAATACTTACTACTTAAATTGTCTGGTATCTGTAAATCGCCATTAGTTTTCAACATTTCTCCAATTATAGCATGCAACAAAGACGTTTTTCCGCTGCCAACATTACCCGTTATACCGATTAGCTCGCCTTTGCCGATCTCTAATGAGATATCTCTGAGCATAAAAGGCTCTTGCGTATGTAAATCTGCAGTTGAGTCTTTGCGTTGAACGTTTCTCTTTGAAAGATTTTTATTGGACTTCCCTTTATTTTTTTTAGTAGTTTTAGGTTCTAACTGTTTTCGCGGAGAAGCCTTAGTCCAAGCGAATGACGCATTTTTAAATATTATAATTTTATCTTCATCACAATTTGTGTTCACTCTATCGTAATAACGATCAGATTCCATATCTGGGAGCTAAAAGAAACATCTATTTAGATAAATGTGGGTTTGACGTATGTCCATAGTGTAAGCTAGGGTTGCCAGATATCCGGGTTTAGCCGGGACAGTCGTTTCCACAAAACATTTTCGATCAAAAATTTTGGTAAAGACAGTATCAAAGGCAAAGGTTCTTAATCCTTCTGTAAATAATAAACCTTAGTATTATTTATAGAAAAACCATTCTAAAGAAAATGCTGCTTTTTTATCACTCATCACTCATTAAATGTATGAAATAACAACCGGCCAAGTGCGAGTCAGACTCGCGCATGAAGGGTTCCGTACCATCGTAATACACGTTTCTAGTAGAGGAGCTCCTTTTAATTTTTAATTTATTTTAATTTTTATTATTTGTTGTTATGGCGGCAACAGAAATACACATTTGTGAAAAAGAACGACAAACGGACGGACGGACAGCGGAAGCTAAGTAATAGGGTCCTGTTGGTTACAATTTGGCTACGGAACCCTAAAAAGGATATTATGCTTTTATATTTTTTATCTATGTTCTTAATCTTGCCCGGTTATTTGTTTCAACACATCTGGCAACCCTAAGTGTAACAATTACCGTACATCCAGCAATTTCTGTATCCGTTTAATGGACACCCAGGCTTCAGTGATCCCATTGAGTACCCAAGGGAACGCGTTTAATGGCGCTATCAGCATATTGATCAACGCGACAGTAGTAAATACCTGAAATTAATGTTATATTATTTTAAAGTGTTTATAAATATCTTTACAAAGTTAGTGATCTAACTTATTAGGAAAAAGACCCCTTTCCTATTATAGTACAACATCCTTATTTGATCTATTACATCTGCCCGACTCGGTCCGATACTTGGCACAATAAAGAAGTTTCATAAGTTTTTTTGCCACAAATTTATATATAAATGAAAGAATAATTCATTTAAAGTATAGTTAAATATTTTTTATTAACAATTGTATTTTTTAGTAATTATTAATAAAAAATAGTTAAATTGCGCTGCGCCACGTAGCCGGTGATTTTAAATCAACATACACTTAAACGAGATGGTATACCACCATGAACCGGAAGGCATAAGATTTTTCTGGAACTTCTAGTGGTCTATTGTTACAACTATGGGACGAAATAGTGATGAATTCTCTTGCACTACCACCACGTCGCAAAGGACAATAATCGAAGTATATTTTTTATTTTCAAACTCAAACGACAGTCAATTAATTTTTTTAATGTAAATAACGCTCTATCGAAATTATTATACATTGGTTTAACGCCAACATTTTGCTCTTTAACGGCAATGAGACAAAATGTATTAAATTAACAATACCTCATGTTAAACATTCGAATATTAAAGTGATTTTAAATGGGGAGCAGTTGAGTCCTGTTATTAGGAAGATACTGCTGCCTATGTTCTGGTTTGTTTCCCTCTATCGTCACTTACGGTATCCACGGAGCGATACGTTATATATTGAGTATTACAAATAAAAACTGAATAAAAATAAATATTACAATAAGAACCGTACAGTGGCATTGTAAGTGCATATCACTACCTCACATCATTTGATAGGTATCGTAAACGGCGACAGAGGGAAACTGAAATTGAAAATAATAGAAATCTGCGGTTACCCATCCGCCTGCCAAGCGTGGCAAGTATGGCAAATATCCATAGATCTGCTTCCTAGGATCCATCCTGGGATCTATGGATATTTGATGTTAAGTGGTACATCGAATAAATTCGGCAAATGATTTTGTAAAAAAATTAAGGTAGTTGTCGCCATTTAAGTTTTCAGGCAGCTCAAATAGTCCGATTATTTGTCCGTTTGAAATTCCGGTCCACATGTTCAATTTAAATTGGTATTGGGAGAGATCTTCACTCATTAAATGTGGATTTTGCGAATACTTCCTGCTGCGTCTTTGCGAAACGACTGGTGCACATTTATGAACACGCGGTGATCTGGGTGACGTGCCGCATTTGGGTATCTCTCCTGATACAATCTGGCTGTGGCAGAGGCGTTATAATGGCATTCACCGTAGATAATATGCATGTACCCATATTCTTGCGCAGTATACACATACGGCATTTTGGCAGAACAATAAATACTAAAGTCCAGGCATACGCAGGCAAAGTTGTCAACACAAATGCAATATTTACGATACGAAAATAATTGAAATCTGCGGTTAACCATCCGCCTGCCAAGCGTGGCAAGTATGGCAAATATCCATAGATCTGCTTCCTGGGAAGGATCCCAGGAAGCAGATCTATGGAGGAGGCTAATGTTAAGGAGTGGACTTTTGATAGGCTGTGATGATGATTAGGATTACATATACACATTAATATTATAGCATGATAAGAATAAAATTATACCATAGGAGCACCAAGCGCTTTCCCTCGCAACGCGTGTGTGCCAAGGGTCAACGCCGCCACTAACACTGGCGTGGTTGCCCAAAGCACCACGCAAATTGCATCTAGATACTTGCGACCGCGCAGGAAGTACAGCTCTTTCGAACGTGCCTCTGAAAAATTTATCTTAAATTTTAAAAAAAACCTCCGTAACAAAAGGAACGCATGATTTTCAAACGGCTGCAAACATTTTCTTGAATCTCGCACTCGCACTCGCGCTTTTGATGTTGCTATCACCCCTTGAATGCAGCACAATGTTAATCTCGTTAGTCGCTTAATCATGTTGATATGTGATATGTGGACAGTTAGCCAAATAGTGGAAACTTTGTGGTGACAACGCATATGTATTTTGATTCTTTATTGAGGATAGATGTGGATGTCTATGGGTCGCAGCAACCACTTACCATCAGGTGGACTTATACTATAAAAAAAAATTTGATGAAACATGGGTATGTTAAGGGCCGATTTTATTTCCAAGTTACGCAAGTTTGATTGTATAATATACATGAAAATGTGATTCTCAGTCAAGTCTATAGTGCACTAAATTTTTAGGATTTCGAACCGCAAGGGTTCACACTTGGCCGGTTTTTTAAAAATAAAAGTACAGATTGCGATAATTTTATCTGTAAAGCGACGCGGCTATACAATTGTAACTAATTAGGGACAGATCGGATGCAGCTGCTGATGCACCAGATTAGCTCCTGTTACGCTGACCCCGCGCGGACCGCTGTCGACTCAAGTACCTTTATTACACTAATTTTCATGTTAAGTCCGGCAACCTTTAGTCTAGTTTGCCAGGGTTTTCTGGGCTGGAAAGAAGCAAAACACGAACTGTTGGTTCTACGTTCGGACCCTAATGCTGACGTAAGCTTAACTATAACAGCCCGGGAGCTCGTTCCTAAGCGTTTGACTACAGGGACGCGGGTTCGGATTCCGCACGGAACAACTTTTTGTACGACCTACAAATAATTATTCCGGGTTTGGGTTTTTGTAACCATGTGCAATTTACGTATATTAAGTCTGAAATTGCAAAAAGCCGCATTAAAGAACTATATAAGTACTCCAATACCACACTATTTACACGATAACGTTAGTAATGGTTGTTTTCGACAATATTTGGAAATATTCGCCGTGCTAGAAAAAATAGATAAAAATCATTGTCATTACAATATCTTGAATTTTTGTGAGACTCACCTGATACTCTTCGTATAAAATAATCTTCCCAAACATGAATTTTTATAGTCCTGATGCCTTTAAGCATGTCGCTGATTAAACTAACCCGTGAGTCTTTGTGATGCATTAGCTCAGTGCTTAACTGCCCAATTTTATTGGCTATCAATTTGTTGATGGGTATCAGAATAATCGAAAATGCAACTCCAGCCAGAAATGAAATCCCCACTTGTTGGTACAACAGAAATAATGTTATGACAAGCTGAAAACGAAACATCCTATTATTACCTACATACAAAAAAATGGGCTTAGGAAAGTAAGTATAATAGGTTCGTTTTTATAATTTTTGTTTTTGTAAAATTACTTGTACACGTGCTTGAAGTGTAAAATTACACGTGTACAATGTACATACATACAACACACAACACGTACATTTGTACAGTTCGTTATAACAGAATTTATTTTTAAAAAAAATTAATATCACAACACAGCATTTTAGTAAAGACCTATCTCGTCATAATTGTCGAATATTATACAATAACAATAAGGCCAGGCGCCCACTGCCGGCACGGCACGGTAAAAAAATTTTTAGGTGACAAATAGGAATGTAACTTAATATTGTGGCATTAAAGTTGAAATTATAATGATAATCGTAATTTCAATTTGACTAATTTTACGAATGCCGTGTCGGCAGCTTCCGGAATACCTCCACAGACCTAGAGATACTTCGACAGCCTTCGGGATACCGAGGCAACGCTCGGAGTACCTACCGACGCAGGTACGCAGCCGTTGCTCTTGTCTTATACTTGCATATTAGCTTTTTTTATAAGACAAGGGTGACAAACGAGCACACAGTCCACCTGATGGTAAGTGGTTGCTGTGACCCATAGACATCTACATCTATCCTCGTTTTCGAATCAAAATACAGATGCATTGTCAGCCATGAGGATTAGGATGGAATGCCTCTTTTCCAATAAAAAGGGTGTCCGGTTCTCTACACTCACCAAACGAAACACAGCAGCATTAAGCTGCTATTTTACGCTTGTATTCTGTGAGAGATCATTCGTGCTACAACTGTACTATTGATATAGCTGTAGCATGGCTCTACCACGAACAAATCTCCAGAATCAGGTTGCAAAGGCTATTCACCCAAAATCATCTCTTTTGTTGTATATTTTTCATCAGCAAGAACTGCTATGAGCACTAGGTCCTCATCAACCATTTTAAATACACACATACAAGTCGTACTTGCAATATTCAACTGTTTAGAAAAGCGTTAGCTCAGAGCGGGCACTTGATGTGACGGTATACTATAGGAAGACTAACGACGCCATGACATACCTAAAGATACCGCGGCATAGTTGCTGTCAGCCGCACTTGCATGTGACAAGGGATGCCGAAGGATCCTTTGTCGTCCTAACAGTAGGCGCCAGTGCGCAGAAAATAAACACAGAAAATCATACAAACCTGTAGGGGTATGCTCCAAACTGCATGGAAACTTGGACATGAATTAACAATTCTGTCTGTATCAGTGGACATAAAATTAGTTATTTCTCCTATAGAGAAAGACTTGGTAAGTTCCGAAGAAGTCACACTCAATGTCTTTCTTAGAATTATTGAAACCATTGCACCACGCATTTTAATTCCTATTAGTGACATAAGCCAACTAAAATGGACATTGAATAATGCTCCCACGGTAGTCGCAATAAGAAGGCCAGCCGCATATGCATACCTTAAAACATACCAAGTGTTTAAAATATGTACCTACCTAATCAATATAATGTTTTCACCCATTATCTACACATTCTGCTAAAACTACTTTTGAATCATCCAATAAAAGCCATGACGATCCACGACTTTTTCTGCCACCAGGGCGGCGCCACTAGAAAGTGAGGTATAATATTTGATAGGCTTCATAGCGGGGAAGTTAATTTGTTCGGAAAATGTAAAAGTTATTGTTTCTTTCTGTACTGTTGGCAATATTTTATATTAATAATAATAGAGATAAATAAACTAAACCACAGATATGCATAAAAGTAGAAATTTTTAAAAAAAGTTAAAAATGTGCAAAACATTAAAGAGCAAACCACTGACACATTCTTTTGTTTTTTAAATATAATACTCTAGAAACTGATAGACTTTTATTAAAAAAAAACCTCTCAATTAAATTACATTGTGTAACAAAAAACTTTACCTCAGTGTCAACTAGCGACATCTGGTGAGCAGAAAATTATTAGCCCTCATTTGTTATAAAATGAAACAAGAGGTGTTGACAAGTAAGCTGCAATGTAGTTTTAGAAATATAACGCATATTGTGAAGATGGCAGCTTATGCTACTGCATAAGCTGCTGCTTTATGAAAGATGTTGTTCTAGCTAGAATTGCTATAGTACAACTGTGTTTTATGTACAGAACATGGTTATACTATTATTATGATTTTATTGGATATATGAAGGTTTAGATATTATACTCATTTACTGACAGTAGACTGGAGTAGTGGTCAGACTAGCTGGCTTCTACACATGATAGGTCAAGGGTTTGAATCGCAGCTAGACATAGTTGCAAAAAGTTGGGCATGAGTAGCTCAAGACAGTGACAGGTATGCACACTTGTAGCACTATAACATCTCTCAAGCAGTTGATATATTTTTCAATAATATCCAGTTGTTACACACGACTAACATGATCGTTTTTATAAATGTTACTTGGAGTATAAATAAGACCGCCAAGGCGACGAAACAACCTATACCTATATATTAACCCAGATGATACAAATTATTAATAAATAAAATTCCCCAAATAGCAATGTCATCAATGATTTCTGGGAAGTTTGTTTATATACTTTAACTCCGGTCACTACCTTTAATTATTATATAAATACTTTCGTATAGGTAGTGCATATTACCATATTACCAATGAATTGATGATAGCAATAACACGTAAATTATGGCATATCAGTTTTAATGGTTACATAAATGTAACGTACCCTAAATGTTGATCTATATTTTCATCTTCCACAAATGTAACCAATTTATTGAGTAACATTGGTCCTGCAAACCCTGCCATATCTGATATAAGCTTCAAAAGTCCTATGCTGTAAAACTGTAGAGCAAAACATTTGTGTAACGCTTTAAATAAAGACACATTATGGCGGCGTTGGGGCCTTAACAACACCCGCGAAGTAGGTGTCACTGGAGTAGATGTTTGAGCTGGACTTTCATCAACAGATCCATATCCTGAAAGTTTTATTAGTAAAATAATTGTTGTATACAAATCACGTTGATTATATGAAATCATCTAATGAATATTAGTAAATCTTGCATACCCGATCCTATAAATGGTTCATGAGGCACTTCTGCATATTGTTGGAATTGATCCACATTACCAATCAGTGCCTTATCCATTTTTGCTCCGACGTATGAACATCTATATTGCACAGGTATATCAAATAGTTCTTCAGGATTGTTTAATTTGTTTTCTATACCTTAAATGAATATGAAATAGTAAAATAAAATATGCCCCTAAACCTGACATAAAGTATCAAAGTTGTTTCAAAAATTCTTTAACACTTGTTTTCTTATAGAAAGCTTCTCAAAGGTTCAACATGGTTAATACATTACCAGGACATTCTCAAAATACTTTTTAAATAAAAAAGCATGTGCAAGTTTACTTACAACATCAACTTCTAGTGGTCATTTATTACAAGTGACTATGAAGGCACTGTAAGAGCGGCTGCTATTATAGCCGAACGTCCACCGCGAACTAAACTTTTTTTTATAGGACTGGGTGACAAACGAGCACACAGTCCACCTGATGGTAAGTGGTTGCTGCGGCCCATAGACATCTACATCTAACCTCGTTAGTGAATCAAAATGCAGATGCGTTGTCACCCGTGAGGACTAAGATAGAATGCCTCTTTTCCAGTAAAAAGGGTCTCCGGTTCTCTACACTCACCATACGAAACACAGCAGTGTTAAGCTGCTATTTTAAGCTGGTATTCTGTGAGAGCGTGGTGCTTCAACTATACTACTAATATAGCAACATGGCTCTACCACGTGAAAACTATGTGAAAACTAGGCTCAGCGAACTAAGCTAAGATAACCTGAAAAACCGTTGCACGTCCACCGAAAAATAAGCCATAACTACGTTAGTGATCGCCAGTTTGTGTTGGTGTGTTGAGTTAATCGGATGTGATAGAAGAACAAGAGAAGAGCTATGATGAGGATTACATTCGTCACAGGAAAAGAATATTGATCATTGCTCATTTCATAAAGAAAAAACGCAAACACAAATACTGGATAAGCAAGCACATTCAATATTGGATTCACTGCCCACGAGTTACATATGCCTACCGAGACCTTGAAGACGAAGACGTCACGGCGACATTTTTGCTGAATGTGCTGCAATAGTCGCCGCGCTGAGGGTAAAGGAGTTTCATATGCATGCCTTCAGCACTGCTTACTTAGCAACTAACAGCAAGTCTTCAAAGACATGACCCAATTCACTTACGTAACTTAAGAATATTCAACAAAGTATAAAACCCAGGGCTTAATTGTTAAGACAGCCCAGTAGTAAGTTAGTTTATAAGTTAGGTAGTCTAATATTCCTGTGTACTCACCTTGTCACAGTAGTTAAGTTAACTTGAAAGTTAGAAAATAAAAGTAATATAGGAAAAAGTTTTCGTCTCCTTCCACTTCAACCCTCCCTAAGCTGCCGCAAACATAAGTTGCGATAATCACACACTAAACAAAACAAATAACACTAAGCGAAAGGCGCAAGAGGGGTAAGGTAAGGGGGTGAGAGGTGCTTAGCTTAGTTCGCGTAGTTTCGCATCGGCCTATACAACTAAGTTAGTTTAACTTAGTTTGGCTATTTTACCTAGATTAGCTGGCATAGTTTGCGGTGGACGCACATGTATAAAAAAGTGACTCAACTATACGATCTAAGATAAACTAAGTTAGTTTATTTTACGGTACATTCGGCTTTATATTTATGATAAAGAAATATTAGCTAACTATTCTCCAATAAATAATTCGGGATATATATCCCCGCCGAAAGCAATTAAACGAATTATTTTAAACTTAACGAATTATTAACTCATATGAGTCAGATATCAATCTTGACACAACTGCATTGTTTAAAATAATTATGAAATAGTAGAAACAATGTGTCCGTAGTAGCAAGCACGATATGCGACCTGACCCAAGCGGCTCTCCGTAAAGTGGAGAGTTGGTGCAAAGAACACGACATAACCATCAATCCAAATAAAACGGTTATATTAATGTTCACACAGAAACGAATGCTGAATAATTATCATCTTCCAAGTCTCTTCAGCACAAAACTCCATCTATCCTCCGAGGTAAAATACTTAGGTCTTACCTTGGACTAGACTTGGAACGAGTAGTAATTCGCCGAGTACTCGGCCTAAATTGGGCCGAGTACTCTGCCGAATACTCGGCTTTAAAAAAAACGCGGTAGCGGGCGGCGTGCGGTTATTTCTCTTACAAACTAGACCCAAATAGGGCTGAAAAACTAGTGTTTTTGCATCACAATCTTCCTCTTTTAAATTTTAAATATTAGTAATAATAATTTCTATAATAGATTCTTATGTACGTTCTAAATATTTTTGCTGCTTCTCATGTTCTTGATGTTTTAATGTGTCTAATATAATAATAATGATAAAAACTGGCTTTTTGTCTACTTTTCTCTGGAATATAATTAAGGCCGAGTACTCGGCAGGGTTGGCATGAATAAATCATTTTGATTTAAATCACGATTTAAATCAAATGATGTTTTCAATAAAAATCAATGATTTAATCAAAATTGTATCCAATATTTTATGCTGAACTTGCGGTTGGAAATTATCATATTAAATAAATTATTTGCCGTTAAATCTTTTGAAGTGTTATTTTTATTAAACCGTACGAAATGCTATTTTTAACACATTGATTTAACGCTATTGGTTGAATTCATTAGTGGTTGATGTTATTTTTATGTACTTTGTTGTTATGCTATTGGCTGAAATATTGGTTAGTATTAATTTAAACACGAAGTGTCAGTTTAATATTATTTTGTTTAGTTTACATTTTCATCAAAATATTACAAGGAATTTATATAAAAAGATGGAGAAAAAATGCTAGTGAAGTTAATTAAGATTTTTTATTTGGTTTTTTATTGTTTAGTGTAGTGTACAATTATAATATTTTTGTTACGAGGTTAATTTTTCACCTTTTATGATGCCAAGACGTAACACAGCTGTGGGACCATTATGAAAAATGTGCCGGAGGCGAAAATACAGTACTTATCGTACAAATAATGTTTCTGAACATTAATAAAATATAACCAATAATCATGTCTACTTAATAAAAGAATCAATAAAAATAGTAAAACCATTTGAAAAGCAGAAAATATAAAACTTTTATATTAAGTGTAAATACCTAATAATCATCAACATTTTATTGTAAATTATAATATAGTATAAATATTGGGTGGGGGTGTGGTTACAGACCTGCTGCACACCTTGTTTAATTTATGTTGGGAACTGAAACGGGTACCGGAAGACTGGTGCAAAGCCGTTATAGTCCCAATATATAAAGGAAAGGGGTCGCAGCAGGACTGTAAAAACTACCGTGGTATCAGCTTGCTTAGCATTGTGGGTAAACTGTATGCTAAGGTGTTAATTGAAAGAGTTATGGAAGAAACTGATGGAAAAATTTGGGATGTGCAAGCTGGATTTAGAAAGGGGATGGGGTGTACGGATCAAGTCTTTTCCATGCGCATGATAGCGGAGAAGTTTTTGGCTAAAAACCAGAAAGTTTTTTGTGCGTTCATGGACTTGGAAAAGGCTTATGACAGAGTGGACAGGAGTGTGTTATGGCAAACACTGAACTCATTTGGGTTGAGCGCCGGCTTGATACAGGCATTAAGATCTCTTTATAGGGACTCTAGTGCTTGTGTCAGGATCAACGGGGTCTCCTCGGACTGGTTTGGCATTCATAAAGGTGTCAGACAGGGATGTGTGGCTTCCCCGTGGCTGTTTAACTTATTTATGGACAGTTGTTTGCAAACTTTGAAAGTTGAAGAATGTGGGTTGAGAATGGGTGAGTCAACCGTCAAATGCCTTTTGTACGCCGATGATCAAGTCATATTTGCATCGTCGGCGGCCGAGTTGCAAATGATGGTTACTTTAATGAATTGGTCATTGAAAGAAAGGGGTATGAAAGTGAACGCAAGTAAGACGAAAGTGATGGTTTTTGAAAGAGAAGAAAGTAAAACTTTATGTGAAATAAGAATAGAAGGGGATTTGATTGAGCAAGTGGATGAGTTTGTATATTTGGGATGTTTATTTAGCAGGGATGGTAGATATGATAAGGATATAGAACGACGAGTGAACGCAGGAAATAGAGTGAATGGGACTCTACACGCTATTATGAGGAGTCAGAATGTGTCAAATAAGGCACGTATGGCAATTCATAATGCTGTGTTAGTCCCTACTTTAATGTATGGTAGTGAAAGTTGGGTCTGGCAGAAGAAGCATGAGAGTAGAATAAATGCTGTAGAAATGCGGTCCTTAAGGAGTATGCTAGGGCTGAATCTGAATGACAGGGTGAGAAATAGTGTGATAAGAGAAAAGTGTGGTTTTGCAAGATGACGTTGTGACAAGGATTAAGAAAGGAATGCTTCGGTGGTTTGGTCATGTAGAAAAAATGAACGAGGAAAGAGTGACAAAGCAAATTTATGTTGCGGAAGTGAACGGCAGGGTCGGGAAGGGACGCCCTAGACGAAGGTTTATCGACCAAATCGGCGATACATTAAAAATAGGCCAGATTAGGAGTACCCTTAACCGACGAGCGTGTATGCGTAGATATATGGATGTAAAAGAGGCGAGAGAGGTGTGTCAGGATCGCGCCAAATGGAAGTCCGTAGTCTCTGCCTACCCCTCTGGGTGACAGGCGTGAGTGTTTATGTTATGTTTTATAAATATTGAATTAATAAACTTTTAAATACGCTTAGCTCTTAATATACTTAAGAATGTTTCAGGCTAGAAGAGTCCTGTTCCTATTAAAGTATGAAGAAATGTTTATTGAATTAAAATTTCACAATAAAATTAACATCAACCGATTAAAAATAAAAATTCAATACGAAAGTAAGTAATATTTTTAACTGTTAATTTTATCTGTTAAAAAAATTAACAAGTAACTTTTAAAAAATAAATAAATTTATCCATTAACACCATATCTAATTCACATATCATACAAAAGGAAAATCCCCGCGCTGTCCTTCCCAATCGTTTGAGGGCACGTTCCGTTTTGCGAAAAAAATATAGTTAAATTAAATAATAAAATGAAAAAATCAAGAAAATCGTGATTAATTACGATTTTTTAAAAAAATCGTGCTTTATTCGATTATTTAAAAAAATCATGATTTTTTCCAACCCTGGTACTCGGTACTCGGCCGTTAATACTCGGTGCTCGGCCGAATCTG